AATGTTTCATGCAGTAAAGCCGTACAACGCAATATCAAAAGACCAAGGTTTATCTGTTTTTGCAGCACCGTGGTCATAGCACACCAGCCTTCAAAAATTTGTCGTTTTAAATTAACCCAGAGTATGGGTTATGTGAGGATGTGGAAGAAGGCTTGTCCAGGCTTACTCACAGGAAGTGGATGTGGGGTGGACCAGGGAAAACCGTTGCTATGCTAGCACAGAAACAATAGCTATTCAGCAAAACACAGTGGCAACCTTCATGTTTATGTTGAGGGCTGTCTGTTTTCTGTCTGCATACGAATATAGATGTGTGTTAACAGAGAGTTTGCGTTTTCTCAATTGACTTTTTTTTTTTTTTTAAACAGAAGGTTGTTCATTTCTAACAGGAAATTACTGTTTCTGTTCCTTGTTACATCTCTGCTTCATCTTCCTGCTTGTTTGGAAAGCTGGGAGATTTTATACCCTCTCAGGCAGTTCATGTCCATAAATGAGAAGGAGGAAAAACTACCCCTGGCTTCACAAGAGACTGAAGTGTTTAGAAAACAGAAGACCGCTCCTCTATGTTACAGTCACACCTATGCTAAAGCATTTTATAATGGTGACTTCTAACACAGCGAAACAGAGTTTGAAGAAACATGTATATAGTGATATATGCACCCTTAAATGTGATAAGATTAACATTATGAATTATAAAATCCTTTTTTGAGTGATTTTGTAGCCATCAGCTTAACAAAAGTAACGAGAAAAAGTAACTGCTTTTATAGAAATCCTTTTTCAAATGTTTGAATGCACTACATGTTTAAATGATCTGCAGAATAGACGGCACTTAACATAAGATATATTGAGATATTAGCTGTATTTACTTGTACTCCATTCAGATAATGTAAGTAGACTGTACAGATTATAATAACAATAAAGACTGATTGCAGAATCTTTCAATTGTGTTTGTAGTGTGACCTTTTATGATTTGATTCATGTGTTGATACCAAGAACATGTTGAAAACATTTCCATTTGACTGTTGTACCTTTTTTAAGTTTACATCGTATAAGCAGTTTTTCTTGCCAACTGCTAAAAGGCAAGATATCTATATATCGAACGTGGGTTTTTGTGCATAACAGATACACAGCAACTGTTGAAGAGTTTACAGAACCCAATCCAACCATTTTGTCGTTTTGAATGTGTCCAGGTTTCATTTGCATATGAAGGTGAGTTCATTATCGAGGCTGAATACTGAGAGACCTTTTCTGTAACCCAGAACCAAAAGATGCCAGGGCGAGTGCATTCTGCCTCGCACAATCTGCTAATCCTTTAACATCACCCGCCAATAGCCACTAACTACTTTGTTTCCCCTTCTCTAGTCTCTTTTCACCCTTTCTGTTTCCCTCTCAGCATCTCATTTAATTTCTTTTCACCTCACTGTTTCTTTCAGTCTGGCTGGCAAGAGTGATGTTTTGAGTTTCACATATTTTGTTTGTTTTGAATGGTCTTTGACCAAGTCACAGCTGGGTTCCAGTGTTTTTGCACCGTTTCTTTTCCCTGACCTCCTCTGACTATCTTTCAAAAACATGTGCATATACGACCCGTCTACCAACAGCCGGCACCTAGGAAACTTTCTAGCACATTGTGTGGAGTTAAATTACAGCAAAGGCTCGTGTGCACATGCGCTCACACATGCGCATGTTTTGTGTGTTAGAGAAGAGGATGCTGTCACAAATGCAACTTGAGACGGAACTGTGATGCAACCATGATGAACTGGAAGCAATGAGCTGTGACTGGCAGATGAGGAGAGGAGCTGTCCCCAACTCTCAAGCATCAAACCAGCTTCAGTTGAGGTTACACTCAAACTAAAGCGAGTCTTGAATTTGGGGCGTTGAAAACTAGAATTTGAAGTGGGATTGGTCATTGGTCAAAGAAGGAAGGTGCTGCTTCTGTTTTAGCCGTCTGCAACTCTGCAAGGTAAATGTGTGTCTCTGCGTGGCCACATTTTTCATATATCTTGTTGACATCTCTGTCATATTCGAGGATTAATTCCATCTAAATTATTATTTTTTTTGTTGCTTAATTTCATTGGGACATCAGTCTTTCGACCCTCTCATTGACTAAGAACAAAAGATTCAGTATTGCAGGTGATCAGCAGATCAAAAAGTAAAGTGCTTTGGTATACTTTGCTTTGAAACTCTAAGCCTCTTATCGCCCACAGTCAGAGGCATACCAGCTCATATCAGCTCACAGTACAGCCAGTGTGCATGCCAGACCTCACACATGACAAGTCTCAAATATACACTCAGCTGAGCCTTAACACACGACACCCACACACTGCAGACACCCTCACAACAATCAGACGTTGTCCTCACACTGTTAATCTTACAAGTAGAAAGTCTGGTTGGAGCCCAAGAAACGGTTAAAATCTGTGGAAAAAGCTCTGATTTTTTTTTACTTTTGTCAATTGATTTTGTTATTTACTGTTTCCAACATGACTGAACTTTCAAGTCATTGCTGAACCTTTGACACACTTAAGAATGCAAAGCCTCGCTGTCACACTATTAGGAGAAATTGTGATTGCAACTTCAATTTAAATACTTCAAGCTGCTAGTTTGCAATATTAATAATACCATTAATAATGCCAATATGTCAATGTTGTATCTACAGCTTGTTGCAGGGCCTCCAAGTGGCCAAAAATGAATCTAAGGAAGGTTAAAGTAAATAACATAATCTGCTAAACTGCACATGAGTTTATTTCTACTTCAACAGCCTTTTCATCTCATTCACAGGTTCAGCTATTATCTGCCAGTTATTACGTCATTACTTGGCATGCTGCTTTTTCACCAAATGAAATGGAAAATCATTTTTGAAAATGGAATGATTGGATTGATGTTTCTCCCCCTATGTTTACCATAATTACCGCCTTCAGTAGAAACACCGTGACTTGAGCCTGCTGTGGGGCTTTGATCCAGTGCTGGTAATCCAGGTCCATAGCAACACTGCAGGAGGAGCTTCAGCGTTCCAGAGACGGATTTCGTTTTGGGTATGTTAGTGGGCAAACCTGGGCATGTCAGGGGGGAGCGTCCAGGCTCTGGCAAGGACAGTATAGGCCTGGAAGGGGTTGGAGATGCCTCACACAAAGCACAATGCATTTACACCCACACGATCTCAAATACTTCAAAATGGTGGGACTCACTGGCACCGTGTTCAGATGTTGAATCACAGCTGCAGATGCTTCCATGTCAGGAAACGGTGTCGCTGCCTGTCAGGAGCGGTTCAACAGGAAATGGTGTGTCACATGGCTTAAAAAACTTTGCTTGCAATTTATTTAGGTTGGTGGACTTCCAGCTGATACATGTCCACAATATGGTAGTCCAAAAAAAGATGCAGACTGTAAGTCGCACCTGTATTTGGTAATTACAACACGTTAATGTTAGAATCGCTCTCTAGTAACCTCAGTAGAACGACATGTGTCCTGTTTCATCCAGCTCACCATCCCTCCCCTCTTAGACTCATGCTTTTTGAGTAACTCAGCCTTGTGTCCCCAGATGAAATATTCAAGATCCTAGTAATCTGAGCATCATTGCAGTCCACCTGCCCCTGGTGGAGTCTGTCTTGAACCTGATCTTGAGGGAAACCTGAGAGTGATTGCCATGCTTTGCGTGTAAAAGAGCTGGCAACAGTGTTGTCCTTCAATGGGGTGCTAACATTGTGTCATTTGATCTGATTCTCTCTTGATCTTGTTTTGCAGCGCTACTATCTGTTTACAGCTATTGCAGTTTGCAGCCAATATGCAAAAGTCTCCATGTATAGCCTACAGTACAGTGTATCTAGAGTAACACTTCACTGACCTGAATATTTGAGTGCATATTTGACTGATGGTGATGCTGCTTGACCTGTTGGCATGGTCTGCCTATGATGTTTCCAGCACTTTACAGATGTTTAAACCAAAATGTGTTCTAATTTTCATACATTGAAATTCTGCATGAAGCCGCTTTGGTAGCTTCAGTTTTGAAAAACCTTCTTGGATTTTGCTGGAACATCTCACTGTGCTTAAACACAATTAAATGGGTGTTGTAGACCTTGAAAAATCTTCTTTTAGAGAACAGGGAGCTCACTGGATTGTCAGACATCACCATGCTGGCTTTTATTGGCAAAACCTGGAATTTGTGCAAAAGTCCATCCTGAGAGAAAGAATGATTGATGATGCTTTATAGGTAAAACCTACGGTTGCTTAGGATGTGAACCTTATGTTTTAGAATACAACTAATTATACTGGTTTCATTCCTGAAGGATTTGGGGTTTAATCCCAGGGAAACGTTCTACACTTTAAAACCCCAAATATTTAAAAGAGATTAAACATTTTAGCAGAGTCTGAAATGAAGTGCACCCACGTGAAAGAAAACTGTTGGGGTTGATGACTGGATGAATGAATATCCGCGTATTCTCCTCTTCTTTAATAATCTCTCTTTGTGTCTCTGCTCCCCTTAAAGCTTCCAGTGGTGGTGACACTCCCTCATCAGGAATGACCTGTCAATAGACTCACACTGTAAATCTCTGTGACGTCTTAATAACACCTTTATGCCTCTTATGACTGGCGAAACAAATACAAATAGTTCTGCTAGCTCACTGCAAGAGAAGTTTTTATGTGATTTACCATCAAGTAATGAGGTATTTTGCCAATGTCTCTGAGACCAGCGTTTGAAAAAAAAAAAGAGATGATGTGTGTTTCTCTTTCCATTAAAACAAGTGCTGTTATTCAGTTTAGCCTATTTATTTGCACTGTGGACACAGAGTGTCCCGCCCTTTCCCATATGCCACCCTGTCCCCCGGGGGCTCCTGCAACATGCTGCACCCACACAGCCACGACCCTCCTACCACATAGGTTACATCACATTCCCATGAAACCCATGTGAGTTGGAGCTTGAAAGTTTAGAAAAGAAAGAGAGAGGGAGACACACACGCGCTCACGCACACACACACACACACACACACACACACACTCCTATGGGTGACACACGCCTCCCTCCCTCAATTCTCAAATGAAAACTCCGGCAGTCTGGTAAACTTTTCCTGAGTGACAGGATCTTCCCGGGCTGTGGACTGACAGTTTAACGGGCAGATTAAGTCGTTGGATTCATTACAGCTCTGCAGCTATGGGACCTTTGTCGCTATGTTAGATAACATAATACACAGCTGCTTGTTTTCCATTTTTATTATAACGTTCCTGAGTTTTGTGCAATGGAGCCTGGATCTGGACGAGGCGATCGGATCCTCCATGCGCTTTGGAGACCGAGGTTGGCTTTATAACATTTTCTGTTCTTTCTCTCTTATGGTTACTGGTTTACGTCTTAAATTTTTAAGTTCACGCGGGTTGATTGGGGACGTTTGCTGTTTTACGGTGCAACGTCACCAGCCGTGAGTGAGCACATGTTTTTACGCATCTCTTTCTCCAAACAGGATCACTTGAACTAACAGTTGATTAATCCGCTGTTGGTGGAGATCACACATTCAAATAGATGTTACACAATGTACAGTATACCATCGTTATATTCCCTTATAATAATTCTCTATTATTCGTGTTCTTAACGTATCTTTTCTAACTAATGGATAACTAGGCTATTTTATGTAGACCAACCGAAAAGTTGCATCTCCACCGTGGTGCTTTGCGTCAGCAGTTTTCCTTGAAATGGTCACATGGTTTCACACAGCACCGGTGCAGACTCTTCATTTGGACCATAGATGACTTTTGATGAAATTCTGGCAATTTGGGGTGACTTTTACTGTAGAACCAGGCTGCAAAATGCACCATACCCAGAATGATGTGCGCCGGGCTTGAGGCGGGATTTCAGTGCCAGTAATTGCATTCTAACTCAGCTTAAAGAATAAACTTATAAACGGATTATGGACCCGCTGAGGAGGAATGTTTCAATATTGGCCCCTGAACCGGGCTTTACATCTGGCAGCGCCCGTGGTTTCAGTGCTCTAATCTTAAAAGAGAAACAGAGAGATTGACAGGACAATGAATGGGCTTTACCTCCATTTTTTATTCAAACGTCTTATGTTAAATTCCATGTAAAACTGTCTCTCTGAGCCCAGAGGCCTGTCAGAAATGGTTGAAATATTCATAATAATATTAAAGTAACAAATTAGAGAAAATGGGATATAAAGACAGGCCCAAGGGTAGGTGAACATGTGAAAGCTAGCTGTACACAGGTTAGGCCCGCCCTACATTTAAGTAGGCTAAAACATCCAAGGCCACAGGTAGCTCAGGTATTACTTGCGGTTTAGCCTACAGGACTTAAAAAGACACTCCTCATGACTATTCTGAACTGTCAAAACATGTCTATAAAACCTATCTCAGCCTGGGGAAGGGCCTGCTTCTTGCTGCTCACACAGTGACCCCCACAGCTGGATGTTGGCCCACCTTTGTTGACCTCTGCAGGGTGGCAGGTTTTCTCCCAAACTGAAAACTACAGAGGCAGGATTTTCAAAAACTGGCGGAAATGCCTCTCTCTGCCGGCCTTTCCTGCGGGAAGCTGCAGAACTGTGATCTAAACTTGGAAAATGACGAAAGGACATGAACAGGAACTCCAGACATTTCCCAGAGATGCTGCCCGGTGGGCTTCCTTGTTCTGTTGACACCATAAATTTCAGTAAATGGGTCACTGTGAGCTTCACTTAATAACTTAAACCTAGCAAATCTTTCAAACAGAATAATAGAGAATATTCAAATCCAGTTAATGGAAATTTCCCACATTGTTCTTTTGATTGAATCCCATAATCCAACTAGCCCTTTGCTTACCTTAGTCATTCTACAGACAATGACGAGACACGTGTTGCCTAATAACATGCTACTCATGTAAACACTCACCTGTCTACCAATTTGTATCGATACAAGTGGTCTAACATCGTCTCAGCAACATGCAGCTGAGTCACTGCAGCATTTTCAGTCTGTAGTTACAGCTCAGAGTATCAGTTGATACCATGGCGCATAATTAAATCTACAACATGTCAGTGCAGCACCGATAGCCTCATAAAAATGCCTCTGGCAAGAGTGACATTTGTTTAGTGATAGTTTGTCTTCAGTCTCAGTTGCCTTAAATAACTGGGCTGATTTCAGATGATGATGCACGCAGTGAAACTGAAAATGATAGCTTTGGTATACTTATACGTTTTCCTTAGTTTTGCTCTGTCTTTGGCCTTGTGCACAGATGTGTGTCGCAGCAGAGTGCATCCCTGTGTTGGCTGGTTCAACTGACTGATGATGTATTGCTAGTGGAAACTGAGGATAAGCAGAAACACACAGGCTTCCTGTCACACAGGCTGATTTCTGGCTTCTCCGTTTGTTTTGTGGTGATAAATAATTTACATTTTATTTGGGATTTTTTAAAATTCTAATCTTAATTTGATCCTGACCTTAGTATCTGTTGGGTTTATTTGTATGTATGTTCTAAAGTAGTGCAGAATCACATCCATACTCACATCACTCCTTCTCTCAGAGGTTTCTGTCAGAGCACCACACTGTGGTGGCTACAAGTCTTACAACTGTTTAGTGAATTATAGACCTGGAAATAGAAGCAGGATTTCACCTAATGTGTGTTTCCCTGGTCTCCAGGGTCTTCTGTTTTGGAGCTCAGTGAGTGCTCTCATGAGATATATAAAGGTGCAGTGAAAATGTTATGGCCAATCTGGGGACTTGAATGGTCAGAATGTATGGGTTGGCCCTCTGAATGGTTGTAGGTCAGTTTTACAAAGATTAATGAGTTTAATCTTCAGGTGTCATCATATTTGTCCTATCATTTGTTTTTTCCGCAGGATGTGCGTGTGAAAGTGGACAGACTGGGGTCAGTCATGGAGCCTGAGTTGAACTGCAGCTCCCAGTGTGATTCCCTACTCTGCTTCATCAACTCAGGAGTCAACAGGCAGGAGGGTCTCGACATTCTGCAAAGACTATGCAGTCTCAGCACGGTAATCACACAGGCACAAATGCTCAAAACATGCAAATCCACTAATAACAGTTACAGATACACTGTGCATATATCTTCCATATGTAAATACCATACACACGCACATACATGGTGCTTGCCTGTATACACACATATATAGACACACAAATGGTGGTTCCACACAGTCCTGACATATGTCAAGGCTCATATATCCACACATGCTGGGAGAGCCTGTTGGTCAGCATGGCTAACCAACACGCTATTTTTGGCCCTCCCAGAGATTAAAGGGTAAAAAGATATCCAATATACATATATTCATTTTGAATATGTAGTCTATCATTTTGACAGCACTTGTAACAAACCAATCACAATGATGACCTAAATTAACCTTTTTTAATTAGTTCAAAAGTCATTGTTTGCAGTTTTTGTTAAGCCTTTGAAACTTTGAGCCATAGCTTAAGATCTTATATTGCCGAAAACACCCAGGCCAAAAAACAAACAAAAACAAAAACAAAACATTCTAGAAACATGTTATTTACAACACAGTTCAATAGCCGAGATCTGGTAACGCTGGTGGACTAGTGGAGCTATGTTTAGTGTCGTCTCTGTCACTTGTGCCTTTAAGAGAAGAGTGAGTGGAACGCAGCAACATGAGGCGGACAAGTCTAATGTGACTTTCCAAATAGAAACTAAAGTAGAAGAGAGACTGTGTCAGAGAACACAAACACTCTCCTACAGAATCCTTTCCTCTTCATGCTACACCCCATAAGAGCAAGGTGAGTTATCTTTTTGATTTGTTATGTTCATTAATGCATGCATCGGTTGGGGCAAATATCATCCTCACCCATAAGGGGAAGGGAACAGTGAGCGCAAAATTGTGTTTGCATTGTTGTGGTAATGGATTGTGTGATGAGATTGTATTTTAATGTACTGTTTTATTTTATTTTTATGCACTAACAATACCTGTTTGTTATTGTCTGAACTCAGTGGACATGAAAAATGTTGAACTGAAATCTCCTTTGATGAAATTTAACACCATGCATTTGTTACTATTTGTAGACGTGGACAGCTCACCAGGCACAACTGTTTCTAACTAATAGGGTTTAGAGCTGGCTTATTCCATAAAATCCCACCTGCTTTTCTTTCTGGATGTGTTCCCAGATATGGCGACTGCTGGCAGCGTGCTGTCTGAAGAGCAGCTACTTTGCCCCATCTGTCTGGATTTGTTCAACCAACCAGTGTCCACTCCTTGTGGGCACAACTTCTGCAGGGACTGCATACAAGGATACTGGCAGAGTGCTAATCTGTCACAGTGCCCCATGTGCAAGCAGAAGTTCTACAGGAGGCCTGAGCTCAAAGTTAACACCTTCATATCCGAGGTGGTTTCTCAGTTCAAGGAGTCACTGGAAAAGAATGAAAATGAAGCCAAACCCCTGGACCAATATTCAGCCCACAAAGGAGAGGTTTCATGTGATGTGTGTGTTGGAAAAAAAGTCAAGGCTCTTAAATCGTGCCTGGACTGTTTGGCCTCCTTCTGCAAGACTCATTTGGAGCCCCATCATGTTCTAGGCACCTTCAAGAAACACCTCCTGACCAACCCCATGACGAACATGCAGGACAGAGTGTGTAAGAAGCACGAGAAACTCCTGGACCTGTTCTGTAAAACCGACCAGACATATGTGTGCCAGATCTGCATTAAGAAAGACCACAAATCCCATCAGACTGTACCTATAGAGGACGAGAGCAGAGACAGGAGAGCTCAAATTGGAAGGATAAATGCAGAGGTGGAAGAAATGATCCACGTCCGACTGCAGAAAATCAGTGAAATCAATCAAACGGTTGAGCTCAGCAGAGGAAACACAGAAAGAGAGGTCGAGGAGAGTTTGCAAGTCTTCAACAAACTGCTCCGCCTAGTCCAGAGAGGCAAAGCCGAGCTGCTGGAGGTGATTGGTGCAAAGCAGAAGCAAGTTGAAAGCAGGGCCAGCGGGCTCATCATGGAGCTGGAGCAGGAGATCGGTGAGCTGAGGCGGACAAACGCTGAGCTGGAGCAGCTCTCACACACAGAAGACGACCTCTATCTTCTCCAGAGCATTCCAACTTTCACCACGCTGCCCGCCACCAAAGACTGGTCTGACGCCAGCATAGAGAGTGTCGTATATGTGGGCGCGGTGAGGAGAGCAGTCAGAAGAGTAGCGTGCCAGCTGGAGGAGACGGTAAAGGCTGAGGTGATGAGGCTTTGTGAGACCGAATGTCAGAGGGCTCAGCGGTGTGCTGTCGATGTGACTCTGGACCCTGATACTGCTCATCCCAAACTGGTGCTGTCTGAAAACAAGAAACAGGTCTATCATGGCAATGCAGCGCTGAGCCTCCCAGACAACTCAGAGAGATTCTACCCTGGGGTCAGTGTTTTAGGAAAGGAGAGTTTCTCCTCGGGCAGGTTCTACTTTGAGGTCCAGGTGAAGGGGAAGACAGAGTGGGATATTGGAGTTGCGCTTGAATCCATCAACAGAAAAGGAGGGAATATGCTAAACCCTGAAAGAGGCTACTGGACGCTGGGGATGAGAAAGGACAAGAGCTACTGGGCCCTCTCCAGCACGCCTATCTGTGTGCCGCTGGTGGAGAAGCCCCAGAGGGTCGGGGTGTATGTGGATGTGGAGTGGGGGCAGGTTTCTTTTTACAACGTGGACTCTTCTTCTCATATCTACTCATTCACTGGATACTCATTCAATGAAAGACTCTTCCCTTATTTTAACCCCCGGCGTAATCATGGCGGGGTCAACTCTGCTCCTCTGATCATCTCGCCTGTCGACATCTAAAATCTGACAAAATTTCCTCTCTTCCTGCTTCTAGAGTTATTCAGTTATTTTTTAATCATCATTTTCAGATGAAAGTTAGCGATGGTTGGCGTGATGTGTGTGGCTGTTTTTCTTAATAAAGTTTGTTTACTCATCTAAATCCTGTGTAAATCTTTTTGTTGCTTTTGCGTCTGTTATTTACAAAAAAGAGAGTTTAGAAAGTCATGTCTGTGTATATGAGCTACACCTGTAATGTTTCCGGCTTGACTGACACATGTGCATATGTGTGTGTGCAGATGGCAGTGGAGCTCCCACGGCGGCCTCTCTCCCCAGTGTTAAGCGCTGTGGTGTGGACGCTGCTCTCCTGTGGCATCCTGCTGGCTTTCTGCTTCCTCCTCTTCACGCTGCGCTTCAAAAACAACAGGTAGTCTACAAAGTGAAACACATAGACACGTTGAAGAGATATTTACAGGAATGAATTCATCGATCAACTATTTGTATGTTCGCACACGTTGTATTACCAGGATAGTGAAGATGTCCAGTCCCAACTTGAACATCCTGACTCTCTTCGGAAGCGTCCTCACCTACAGCAGCGGCTTCCTGTTTGCCGTGGATGAACGAACACACTCACAAGGTGGAGCATTCACAGCCGTGCTACAAGTAAGCCCCACAGTCTCCCTCAGTCCTCCATTATATTGTTGGATAAATAATTCTAGGATAATTATGCAGCATTCTCTCCTACAGGCTCGGATGTGGACTCTCTGTATTGGCAGTACCCTGGTGTTTGGCCCAATTTTGGGGAAGACATGGAGACTGTACAGAGTGTTCACCCAGCGAGTGCCTGACAAAAGAGTGGTAGGTATACTCCACTGGCCTCCCGGTGGTCGTGTCTGTTTCCAGCATTGACAACCTTGTATTGTGATTATTTTATCCGGGCGCTTAAGGATACATTAATAATTCTATTCTATTTTATTCTATTCTAAATGAGTTTTCAAAGGCTAGCGGAGAAGTTTTCTGTCAATTTTGAGGATTTAGAAATTTAAGCCTTGGTACTCTGAGATTTGTTTTTCTTTCTATAGCTTTCTTTTATGTAACCAGAGTCTCCCAGAATGATATGCATGAAGCTATATAATGACTAGATTTGTTTTGCAACAGTATGACACTGACGTGATTGGTGACTTTACTTTCTGCTCAGATCATCCGAGACATCCAGCTGATGGGCATGGTGGCTCTGCTGATCCTGGTGGACATGCTTGTTCTCACCGCATGGAACCTCACAGACCCCATCAGGTGTTCACGGTCTGTTGGAGCTGTTGTCAAGGTAGAATTTTTTGGGGGGGTGCTAAAAAGCAAGTTGTAAAACCATTGTTTGGTTTTTGTTTTGAGTGACTGCAGAACATAGTGACGATTATAACACAGTGCTTAGATCTGAATGTGCAATGCTGTCAAATAATGATTATTTGTATGAAACTGCAAGAAAGCTTGATTTTGTGACAGCAAAATCCCAAACTCCCACATCCCATCCTCCCATCTTAATATAATTAACTATTGAGATGACAATTTTATTCAGGATTCAATATGTTTTCTCTACTCTAGGTGATGGAGAGAGACATTTCATACTCTTTGTCTCAGCTGGACACCTGTTCCTCTGTATACTCGGATATATGGGTAATCGTTATAGCTGTTCAGAAGGTAAGTAATCTCTTTTCTATTTAAATACTATGATGAAATAAATGACTTGAACTTGTGATTTTATTTCATGCGTTCTCTTTATGCAAAAGTACTTTGTTTCAACGTAGAGATAACAGACTGGAGAGTCAGTCTGTGTAGTGAAAGAGAGGTTTCTTCATATTACAAAACTGATACTCTGTGTATATTACTACAAGGACCTCAGACGGTTAACTCAATATGTGTGAGGTGAACTGCTGTATGTCCAAGATCAAAATAAATATGTAGAGTAAAAGGCTTGCATTTAAAATCAAATTAAAGTAAAAATACAGAAGTATGATCAGCAAGTATGAAAAGCAAAAGTTCTGCAGAAAAATTGCTCCTGACAGACATAATTTTAGACATTATTAGATTGTTAATACTGATGCAACAATGTGTAAGCTGTTTACTGTTGTAGCTGGCTGAGGCGGAGCTCAAACAGTTATTTGAATTAAACCATCTTAAAGGTTTGGAGGGGAAATATTTTTTTGGTGGAACTACTAACAACTTATTGACATCTCAAGTCAAAAAGGTTAAGAACCACTGGTTAAATCTTTAATATTAATATGAATTAATAATGATATTTGTATTTTATAAGCTTGTCAAATGTTGTTTAATGATAAATCTTAATCCGAAAACTAGTAGCTATAGCTGTCAAGCATATGTGATAGAGTAAAAAGTATACTATTATTTCCCTCTGAAATGTAGAAGTAGAAATATATGGATAAATAATATAATAGATGGATTTTCTTTGTCTTTTCCTTTGTCCCTGCATTTCTCCTTAGGGTTGTCTTCTCCTCTATGGGACTTATCTAGCTGGGCTGACCAGCAACGTCAGCCACCCTCCTGTCAACCAGTCTCCCACCATCATAACAGCCGTCACTTTGGTCATGCTCTTTTCGGCTGTGGCTGTCCCTGTGTCCAGCTTCCTGCAGGCCTGGCCCAACCTGGTCTACAGCACGGTGGCTGGAGCCATTTTCATCTGCACGCTTGCTATCAATTGCATGCTGTTTGTGCCCCAGGTACAAAAAAATGCACAAGATCAAGATACACATACAAGTTGCACTAAAAAAAGTTTGTAGCTTTGGAGAAAGTGCAAAAACTCTGACCAAAAAAACGCTGACATCTCCTTGTTTCTGGCACTTTTGTAGTATCTCTAAAGTAGAAGCCACTAGCAAGGTTTTTTTTTATTTCAGGCAGAGCTGTCATCTACTCATAAGAATCTATGTCTGGAAACCAGCATTAAAAACAGACAGTCAGAAACTGAAGATACACATGCGTATGACAGACAGACATGAATGAGAGATGCTTGTATGACTTTCTCTTTTAGTTTTGACAAAAGTAGTAAATGCTATGACTGACGGTTTTGCTCACACCTCCGTTTTCCATATATATGTCAGTTTGCCACGTCTTTCATGTCTGTCAGTGGAGTGTGACTCACCGCAGAAGGTGTTTATGAGTCAAAACTACGTAGGCTGTTGCAAACAGGTTTATGACTCTTTAAGTGTCTGGCAGTGGGTTTATGTTACAATAAAGGAATGCATCTTCAGTGGAAAGGAAGGAAATATTTGAACAGTGAGCAACACACTCAAACACACCTGGTCAAAGGTTCCAATGTCAAGTTTACTGTGTGTGTGTGTGTGTGTGTGTGTGTCTGTGAGGTTGCCGTAACACACACTGTATGTTTTTGTAACTCCATCTAAATATCACCATCATGCAGCTGACCCAGTGGCGGCAGTTTGAAGAGGATCAGAACAACCCGAGTCAGATGGCCAAGTATTTCAGCAGCCCCAGTAAGAGCCAGCCCTCGGTGTACAGCCAGGATGAGATCTACTACCTGCTGGGGGAGAACAACTCCATGAAAAAACTCCTAAATGAGGTACTGCATTGTTTTTGTTTGTTAGTGTTTTCACAAAATACACCGCTCAGTAAGAAAACCTTGTAGAATATTAAGTATAATTCATACGAGCCTGTCTTAAGTCTTGAATTTTCTAAATGGGATGATGACACAGATGTCACTGATGTCATGTTGTCACTGATCTAGGGGACACTTCTACTAAATATTATTTTTCTGGTGTTTTCTGCAAATTTGAAAATAACAGATCTTTTTGTTTTCCTACTTTAAGCTTTCTGCTCACGCTGATTTTCATTAAATACAAAACACAACTTTTACGGTTTAATGATTTTTGGTTGTGCCGTTTGTTTGGAAATAAAACTTTTAGTCTTTATTGTGTTTTGATCCTCAGTGATTGTAATTACTGCTGCGCAGTTGTTCTGTATTTTTAATCATCAAATAAAATCAATCAACTTCTCCAAACTTAAGCTAGATAATTTATACGTGATGCCAAGTGAAGCCAACAGTGGCCATAATCCCTCAAAAAAAACAGTTACCTCATAGATTTTACTATTTTTATTAAATGTATCTATGTTAGCTTTGACCTGCACCTAGCCATCAAATTGCAAATGCATACATAGAAAATTTGCTGACAATATTAAAATTTGTATGGAGTCCAAAATAAATCCATATCTGCTGTTTTATAATATCTTGACAATTTTCTCCCAGAGCATGACTGTGCTGTTTGTGTCAGTTTAGAAGAGTGTTTAAGCTTGTGTTTTTTGTTACAATTTTCAGAAGAACGCTGTGATTGACAGCCTGCAGGAGCAGGTGAACAACGCCAAAGATAAACTCCTGCGACTCATGTCAGCCAGCCGACACCCCGACGACCAAGACATGGACTCTTCCAACACCATCCTCAACTCCTCCTCCACTCAGACCACAGAGCTTCGGTCTGACAGCCCCTCTTCTTCTTCTCTACCTCAGAGAGACGCCAAATCCCAACACTCACCGCCACATCTGTCCCCACACCTTAGCACTGCTGCTGTTTCATCATCTGCTGTTATGCCATCCTCTGAGCCTCCCTCTGCTCCAAACTCCTCAAACCACATTTCCCCTTCCTGTCCTCTCCCCAATGATATTAATGAGAGTGAAAACCAGAGAGGTGGCCCCAACACAGGCCCTACAGGCAGAGACACATCTGAGCCCAGAACAGGGGAGGAGATCAAATCGCCAGTGCCCCTCCTGTCCCCAGGTGTTCTTAGGACAGCAGAAGAGACTGTTCACTTTGTCACTTCCCTACAATCCCATAGAGGGTTAAACCCCTCTCAGGTTGAAACTTTCAACAATCAAAGTGGCCTCACATCCCAGCTGGGACCAAATGCCAGACTGACTGGTTTCATTAGCAGCGAGCAGTTGCAGGAGATCCTCCAGGAGCTGAGTGTGGAAGCAGTCACGGGAACCAAACTTCGATCTCCCGGTCGGATGTCCAGAGCTCCTTCTCAGCTAAAATTTAGCACAGCCTCCACACTTTCCCCTCTCTCCCTGCGGACACCACACTCTCCTCATCCACCTGTCATCTTCCGCTACCCCAGCATCTCCCCTTATTCGATGAGGAAACGTCGGCCGCCCTTTCACTCCTCCAGAAGAGGTTTGGCCCCTCCCTGCTTTTACGCCGGTTGTGGGAAGACACAGGACAACTGTGAACACCAGAATCCAGGCACGCACCCTGATGGGGTCACTGCGGATGGCACCCTCCTCCAGGTTCACAACACTGACCTCGAGCTTGAGGACGAGGGGGAGGATGATGCAGAAGGGAATCAAGCGAAAAGAAAATGTCGGAAGTGTGTTTCAAGATCCCACAGATGTTTAGTCTTGCCCTGTGCAGAACACAATCACACAGCTCCACCTGATGTGGAAACGGGGCGTGATAATGAGCAGCACCACAGACGTGTCAGAGACTCCTGTGGGTACTGGGACTCTGACTCCAGCAGCTCAACAGACTACTGTTACTACCACCGTCCCTACTGCGAGTCCTGCCAGCAGCGAGGCTCTTTCCTGTCCTCAGACAGCTCCTCAGACTCCTCTGACAGCGAGTACGAAGGCTACACCAGCCTGTACCACCCCCCGCACCCTGTGGTATTCAAAGAAGACCTCAAACCCACCTTTGTGTGAGCACAGGTTTACTGCACTTTACAGGTTCATCCATTTCCACCACTTGTATTCATGTCTTAGCTTTGAGGATAAAGCAAAGCACAGAGTTCATTGTGCATCTATAATGGGAGATAGTTTGGGTGTAGCGTTCAATAGGCAAGTGTTTTGCATTCTCTATTGTATTCTTGAATCTGGCATTGTGGGACAAATTGGTTCTTGTACTCACGAGACCATTAGAGTTGTGAAAATGTGTGTAACTGAAAAGCACACCATGCTGTTTACTTCACTGTAAAATTACTGATGGCATTATTTGTACATTTCTGTTGTAAGCCTGACATCTAGAGTGGCAAATTAAAAAGGCCAGAGAGCAGAATTTAAGGTTTTCACAGAACAGTTGCTTTTGTGCAAATGCTGTATTTATTTTGATATTTATTAGTAGATGTTTCGGTGTACAGAATTACTTTCTGCCTCCTTTTTTACTGTTTTGCATTGTCATACACATTCCTTAAAGTGTTGCTATGCCATTTTATTGTATCGTCTGAATTTTGTTGTTTGAGTTTTGTTTTCATTTTCTATACAGTGTTCAAAGGTGCTTTCAGTCTATAGCTGGTTTACAAGACACCACATCCACATCGTCACACAGGTCACATTATTTTCTCAGTATTATTGTACTGACTTATTAAGAATACTTAATGTGCAAAGGTCATAGTTATCTGAAGTGTGGGTTTAACCTGCTAAGGGGCCACAAGGCAAAAATGAGCCCCTATTGAGCTCATTTTGCACATAGTCCAGCAAACCAACCAGTATTTCTGTGCTGGAAATAATGTAATGTAGTGTAATCCAGACTTGACTTGATGTTGAATGTAGCACTAAACCTGAAGTTCATTTGTCTTTCCATGGTAGAAGCAACATCTTCCCAGGATTAGAATATTTTCCAGCCTCCATGTCATGTGACTTTAATCATGACCAAAATTTAGATATAGATTGAAGAGTTTTACTGCAATACAGACAAAAACAGAGCACTACTCTCTCCCTTTCTTTTTTAGATTTCTTTCCTGACTTGGCCTCTCTCTCTCTCTCCCTCCCACTATCTCCTCTCTGTATCTGTTTTTATTTCATGTGCTAATGGGAAAATGTGTGTTTGCCCGGGGAGGTATATGAAGGAAAAACAGTGTGTCTCACATTATTTCTGCTCTGCTACCTGTTTTTGAAACGCTACTGCTCCCTATTCTGCATATGAACCATTGAAGGGCAGCCTGGGAGAAATTCCCTTTGATACAGAGCATAACAGAGTATAAATAAACTACACAAAAGACAGACTACCAGCATCACTGTGCAGGAGGAAAGACTTTCCTACCAAACTAAGATGAGTGGCCTGTATTCTGTTCAAGATGAGGAATACTAACATATTGAGGAATTGTGGCATAAAAATAGTTGTCAATCAATCACACATAGCCTACATTTCTCAAAATAACACAATAGTCCATGGCTATTCACTCTATTCTTGAACATTTATTGCAAAATTAATAAGGGAGATTAGGACACCTGAAGTTATTTTAGATCACTAGAGAAATATTAACGGTACCACTTACTAATAAGTCACATTTTGTAATGGGCTTAATGTAACTAATGGTTTTATTAATGTAATTAATAATTTACTAATGCTTTGTTGTCCAGTTAAAAGCCATTAATAAGAAAACATGGGTTGCCAGACTGTGAAAAATTCTTTGACTAATTGGACTGTGACTACTTACCTTGCAAAAAGGGCTGCAGGGAGCTGGACCAACTGTACTATTGACAATACAATTCATTTATAGCTTACCAACATTTACAACAGCATTATTACCAAATAGTAAGAAGAAACACCAGCTGAGGATATTTGCCTGGGACCAAATGTGTTCTTATTAACATCTTATAACTAATCTATAATGCCTGAGTATAGGTTTAAGGTTCAGCTTTTTGTCATTACACATGCATACAATATAGGAATGCACAGTGAAATTATGTTGTAGTCCGCTCCATGCTTCACACACATTTAGGGTACAAATAAGTCAATTATATACATTTTGAAATAAAATACAAAAAAATACTTGAAAACACAACAAAGTAGTAGCAACATTAGGCTAACTCAGTAGGCCGAGTAGCACTGAAAAAAGAAACTGCACAGGAAAATATACACATACATGTAGCTATACATTATGTAGACTACAGTATCACTGCAATATCACTCTAAGCTCTGGTGAAAATAATTGTGGTAATAGTGGGAATGAGGGTGGTGCAAAGTGACTGATATGGTGATGTGCAAACCAGAAAGAAAAAACAAAACATGCATTTATTTTATTTAAATGTATAAATATGTTTACCATTAATTAAGTGGCACCTTACTAGAAAGTAGTAGGCTACCGCATAAAAACGTAGCAGTGACAACTGAAATGAAGAGTGACGAGGCAGTGGTGCACATATTTTTACAATATTAAGCATTATGACTAATTAAATGTTTGCGCCAGATGGCTGCGTGTCTAAAAAAGCGTGGAAGAGAAACAGAGGAAGGGCTTTTGTAACTAACATAGCAACAGCGCTGTGTGACCGCCGGTACTCTGTGACAGCTGGGGCCATTTGAACTGACAGTCTGGTTTTTGGAGCTCCATTGGCCGAGAAAGTCATCAATCCTGGGAGCAGATACGCCCATTGTCCCTGCCGCGGCACGGGGAAAAGCCTTTGAAGTCGTGAGGGCGGCGCCAAGCAAATTGTGCCATGTGGTGCTCAAGAACGGCGTTCTCATTGGACCACAGGAACACGGTCAACGCCCATCTCCGAAGGATACCCTTCCTGATAGGCTAAATCTGCCACCCCAGATTCTCCGTTTGCGCGTGCACAGTTTACCTATTCCCCGTCGCGTGTTACGTCAAAAGCGTGAACCTTCTCCCATGGCAGCGGAGCAATCCCTGTAACCCTTTACGGAAATGGCGTAGCAAACGTGCGCAGCGACAAAGACAGCGAGCCCGAAACCTATGGGGAAGGAATAAAAAAAGAATTTCACTACCGTCGCACTCTGTACCTTAAAGACTATCATTTTCTGACGAGCTCGCTGCCCCGGAGGCTCGTTGAAGACACCGAAATTTGACGGCGACGAGGGCGGATTTAGAGGCAGCGCAGAGCCATTGAATTCGTTGAAGAAGACTGGCAGATTTTCCGTTGGACTGTCTGTAGGCTAGGGTATAGCGAGGGAGCCGCCATGGCAGTCGGATCATTGAGCCTCCACATCGGGATATGAAGAGGATTGTCAAGAAAACGCCGCATTTACCTTTGATCCGCACCGGATCGGCACTCTTAACATCTGATCTCACACTTCTTCGTCTTTGTGAAACTGAATTGAAGAAATCTCAGTTGGTTTTCGGGGGGCCACAGGGAGAGGCCAGATTCATGACTATTTTAGTCGGAGACGTGTCTTTAGAGGCCCGCTGAAAGAAAACCTGGAATAAAGGGAAGAAATGCTGCTCTGATTGAGCTTTGCTGGGAAAGAAAGGGTAACGTTTATTAGGTAATACGAACTAGAGTGAAATATCGTGGGGTAAAAGGGGACGCTTTCTGCCTAAGTTACCCTGTGTGAATTATAGTGCTATTCATTTACTGGCATCCTTTTTTGGATGAGAAGGTTCGGCAGAGCGATCAGCCCCGCCGTTTAGCAAGTCACAGTTCTCCGAGTCGAGAGAGAATCAAAGGGGATTGGATCATGTCGGGTCGGCCCAGGACCACATCCTTCGCGGAGAGCTGCAAACCAGTGCCGCAGCCCTCGGCTTTCGGCAGCATGAAAGTCAGCAGTAAGTACACCCCTGTGATTCTGGAGTAGCCTACCTTCTCCTGCATGCGCCAGAGGCCCAGTGTGGGCTACATACCCTCGCAAAATGTCTCCCCACTAACCAGGCTGAAAATGTGTCAAGCGAGCATGACGTTAGCTCCGGATAGCTTAGCCCTGTCATATATCTGTGTCACTGACTGAGGTTGGCCGGTGCTGAGTGACACACACACACACACACACACACACACACACACACACTGTTCGCCTCCCTGTGAGCACACACCGCTGCGCTCTGACGCGCCGGTCAGCCTGGCCAGGGTTAGCAGGCCGCGCCGGGCAGGGCTGGGCCAGAGGGAAGGTAGTGTTGGCAACGGACCAGGTCAGAAACCAAGCCTCCTCCTTTTACTGCAGATCCGGTCTCGTTATTGTCCACTTGAATGTAGATTAGAGCTCATAGGGTCATTACTAAGCGGCAACCCTCCGTATGCGTAAATCAAAGCAAAAGGGCCGGCGTCTGTTACGCAACTGTCAAAGCCGAAGGTGCGCCCATAGTTGACTCGGGTGAAACTGACGTGATCCCGGAGAGGGCTGGTTTACTGATCCCATAGTCACTGTGTCGAAATCAGACGGCGCGACGGCTGGAGGGAGCGTGACACAGAGGATCCTGTTCATGAAGCCACAGTGGCACCGTGCCGGCTGGCTGCAGAGATGTTTGCCCACACACACATATCCCCTTTTAATTTCTGCTTTATATGATCTGTGCTAATACTTCAAAGGATGTCACACCCACTCACCTTTCCACTGCCTGTTTTATATGTCAAATGTCATTTGCAAACTGGCATCTTAAAGCATTTTCATCGCTGTGTGTATCATAGATTGCAGATACTACTAGTTCAAGTATTCACGTGTCCTCATTAGAGCTGGACCATATGACAATCTCTTACTAATATGGTGAGATCATATCAGTAACAGATTGTCTTATGGTATTGGATGGATTGTCTGAAATGAGAGTGGATGTCTAGATACTAGAAATCAGACTGTATCTCACAATAATATAGTTCATGTTTTCTTTCTTTTCTTATCTTGCATGCAGGCACGCATTTGGATGTGTGTGAGGGGGGAAATATAGGCTTTTTGGGATTGTTGGTGTTTCTTCAGGGCTGTGATGTGATCACGATGTGTGTTAGTGGGGTGAGGCTCGAGGCTCTCCTCTGGGCCTCTGCACTGGAAACCACCTAGTGGACTAGGACACGCTCTGGGAGACACACTCTCCCAGCCCAGATCCAGTACCTATTTTGCCCCAGATATGGGCGTTGAAGCATTGGTGTGTTCCTGTCAGTGTGTAACGTTCATGGTTCTGTTGCTGTTAAATGCAAAGGGCGTAGAGAACTAGAGGACTCTTAAGTCTTTGGCTAATTTGTTGTTCAGACATAAAATACTGAATTGGCAGCAAATGCGAGGCAGACCGTGTGGACTTAACATTACATAAGTTGTACACCAGTGTTTCACTGTGCTTATTTTCCTCCGTGAGACACATCTGGTCAAGTCATTACAACATTATCAGTCATCAAAGGCTGAAGCTGGAGTCACCCAATTAATTAGTTGTTAAATAATCTGATTTCTACTTGCTGGCGGCAGCTACATAGAGGAAAGTAGCCTGTTTGATTGTGCAGATGTCCCCTGTGATAATCAGTAAATACATGAAGCATTTATGATAATGAATGATCTGTCCAACTGCATTTTACATAGGAGGCATTGAGAGACTGTAACCAAGAGCAAGAAGTTGGTTAAACTGAGGAACATTGGACATTTTAAAGGACAAGTCTGATAACTTTCAACTGTAGCTTTGTTTGCCTACTTTTTAGAATCATTATTGAAGTTGATACTTTGTGCTAATCACATCAGTGGGTTCCCGGCTGTTTTTACCATGCCATCCTCACTTGGTCCAACAAAAATAAAAAAAATATCTGGGAGCTGTACTAGTTAACTCTGATTGGATGCTCTATGGGCCCAAAAACATGAAAACCAGAAAAACGTTGCCTGGTGAGCAACTTTCATTGGATTAATGCGGCACCATTATTCAGTTCTCTTTACACATCCATGGAGTGAAGTGGTTAAGTAATATGTTTTAACACAATCAACTGTTATCGTGGTAAGAATTGGGTTAGAAGGTGCTTGTTGAAATAATCAGACTTTCCTCTCTTGCGTCCAGCTGAGGAACAGGTTTCAGGAATTGGCTTGATGTCTGCCATGCTGGCCTGCGCAGATCCTCTGGGTTTGAGGATATATAGACACGCAGAATAGAAGCAATTGTGCATGCCGGCTTAAACTGAAATCTAGAACTGAGGCAATACAATGATATAATATGAACAATGACATATAAGAGTATGTAACAGTTTTGGCTAAAAGTCACACCCACATGAATATTATCTGAGTATTGCACTGAAGGTACTAATTTAAGACCTCATTTTGTCGTAAGGATGTTGTCCAGCTCAAATGTCGGCGTTCTGATTATCAGGCAACCTGAAATGGGTTTTCTCAGAAGGGTGGCTGGCGTCTCCCTTAGAGATAGGGTGAGAAGCTCGGTCATCTGCGAGGAACTTGGAGTAGAGCCACTGCTCCTTTGCGTCGAAAGGAGCCAGTTGAGGTGGACATCTCCCTAGGGAGGTGTTCCAGGTACGTCCAGCTGGGAGGAGGCCCAGGACTGGGTGGAGAGATTATATCCCCACATTGGCCTGGAAATGTCTCAGGATCCCCCAGTCAGAGCTGGTTAATGTGGCTCGGGAAAGGGAGGTTTGGGGCCCCGTGCTGGAGCTGCTGCCTCTGCAACCCGAACCTGGATAAGTGGTTGAAGATGAAGATACCAAGTAAAATAGGAATCGAAAAATGTACTGTTGTGATCAGTAACTCAACCTGTGCTGGGTTCTACTCGCCCCACTAGAGACACTTGAATCAATTTATTTTTGTTGATTAATGAATAATTATTGTAAAATAAAATATTGGTTATTATTCAACACAATGGGAATTAGCAAATCCTAACATTCAATAAGCTGGACCCAGAAAATGAAAAAATTATCAAAACTTTGGTTTATCAATTAACGCATTGTTTCAGCTCTGCTCAAATGAAGGGTAACACTTGCTTTGGTAAAAATAATTGATCAACCATTCACTACAAAAATGTATATTGACTTGAAAAAAAATCTAATATTAGCTTCGTCACCCAGAGGAACACGATGTGCAACGTCAGCTGAGTCGTGATTGGACTTTGGACTGTATATGAAATGCCTTGTTAGTATCTACCTAGACTAGGGCCCCATCCTACTAGAATTAAAACGAAAACAATCTCCGTCCACAACAACGTTTTAGCTGCGTATCAGAGTTGATACTCCGTCTATACTAAAACGACTGAAAACACACATCTAGTGGCCGTTCACGTACTCTGGACATGTGCGTGTCGGTGTAAATGAGCAGATGGTCTATTCCGTAGTTACAGAAGATTTGGCGAAAGTACTACAGACGAAGAACCAAACCAGATCTTGTTTTGCATGCACCAATAACGAGCTGGGACTGTTACTGAATGTAACATGGGAGTTAAAAGCAGCTGTGGAGTCGGAAACAGACTGGAAGTTGTTGCGCAGTAAATACGGTGACATACACAGTATAAGTGTAGGTTATAAGTGTTATTTGCACAGTACAAAATATTTAAAATGAAATACCAAGTCAAATACTCTTTCAGTAGCATAGTGTGTCTGCTTTGCATGACTTATAAGACCAAATCAGAGAGCCAAATGTGAGCGTCTGCTTCATCGTTTCTAAAGTCACCATTTTTGCCTGTCTTCACTAAAACGGTCCCCGGAGTTTCAAGACGAAAAACGGGAAAAGCAGCGTTTTCAAACTTCTCCATTTTAGGTCTTCGTTTTCACCGTTTTAGTCTGGACGGGAGGTGTGGATGGGGCCTTATACGTCATCTACCATTACCCTGACCTCCCTCATCCCAATACACACACACACACACACCTACATGAGCACGCTTTGGTTTGTTTTTTGGGGTGAGGCAGCTGGCCAAGAACAACGAGCGGCCTGTTTAGCATTTCAAAGCTGCAGCCCCCTCTCCGTCTCTCTCCCTCTGTTCTCCCCCTTCCTCTCTATCCCTCTCTTGCATTTTGCAAGCAACGATGGGAACAAAATTAACTAATTATACTCTTTGATTCCAAATGTAACAGAAAGGACGAGAACTATCAAAATCACCCGCTGAGTGTTGAGGTAAAGCAACATGCTGAACCTTCTCTGGGCAGTCCGTTGGGTATCGTCAGTTGTGGTGTCAGGTCTGGGTAGCCATGGCTCTACAGCCTGCACACCACTCTGATATCAAAAATCTGTGCACCCCCATCTTATCTACTCAAAAACCTCTCTGATGTCTTGATCTAAAAATTGCTTAGCCAAGTGTCCCGATGTCAGTGGCGACATTCCTGTGACTAGATGTTCCAGTAATGTGGTGAATTATCTCATCAGTGGTGGAACACTTTGCACTGTGCTGAGTTTGTGTACCTGCACGCGTTAACACAGTGCGTGCACGCCTTTTCTTGTGGCGCAGTCTGTTTGGTTGTCCAGGAATTTAGCCAATCTCTTCATACATTCCTCACAAATGTCACTTGGCCCTGCAGTCCCCAGCTGCCATGAGCTGAAACCATTTCAGGTACATTTTGTAACACACACGCACATATCCCCTTTTTTTAACATGTCCAGCATGATGATGATGATTAACTGGGATAGCCAAACAGTTAATACATTCTGTATATATGCGTATGACTGTATGTGTTTGCCAAACTTCAGAGAGGAATAAACACATGGACAGTTTGGCAGGTGCTCATTCTGTGATATTCGCTCGTAGCAATTCGACATCAGTGGTGTGAAAATGATGCCTCATCGTGCAGTAAATTCATGAATGATGTTATTGCTCCAACCTGCGTCTCGTAGATTAACTCTGCACATGTTCTACCTCTGTTGCACCTCAAAGGTGGGTGGCTTATGTCAGGGGATTTCCTCTGGATATAAATGAAAAGCGTTCTCTTGTTCAGACCCTTCTAATTCTAGCGCGACAGAGTGCAGCTGATTGTGAGTTGCTGCAGACACTTCAAACGCCTCAGTATCAAGAGATCCTGTCACATCGGGTATCAGTCTCCAGGCCGTTTTTTAATTTCCTGTAGTTTGCTTAAACACCCAGTCAAACTTCCTAATAATGATGGATTATTTTTGCATACGTGATACAGGATGTCAGTGTGTAACTTTTAGTCTAATTTTAGTAACCGATGATTTATGGGCTCAAATAAGGCTTAATAAAATGTTGAGCATGTGAAATTTTGTTTAGTAATAACTTCAAAGCCTACCTCATACTGTGTACACCTGTGAGAAAATACTGCAGGTAAAATGATGGTTTGTAAATGTGCAGAAAACATTTGCTGTTGGCAAAAAAGAAATGCTTTTGTGAACATCAGCGCACAGATCTAAAGCTGGAAAGTGTGAGTGAGACTCAGTACTTAAAGTTCTCACGCTGTATGTAAAGTATGTGATACTGCCATTACGCACATTAAGCACATATTCAGGAAAGAAATAAAAACAGAAATGATATATATATATAAAAGCACAACATCTTATCTGTTATTTGTAGTGCGTCCATGGTGGCTTTGCGTCGTCATCCTCATTAACATGGCACCCTCATTACAGTCAGTAAAATTCTCCCGCTGCTCAGCACTAGTGTTGTTTTGGCCCCATTGTGCAAGCCATTTTCAGTTGTGGCCTCCGAGTCTAGTGACCTGAATTGATTATTGATGCCTCTGGCTAAAAGTCGCAGCAGCTGTCTGTCCTGTGTCACTTTGTAGCTGAGTAATATGGCACATGTTCACGAAATCATGCTCTGTGATTAGTCACACTAATTATATTCTTGTGATAGGCTGATTGGCTAACTACAAGCCCTTACTATCAGTGATGCTAGCACATGTTGCAAGGCCTTTGTGCTTTCACGATTTTCTCTGAAGAGGCTGTGATTAAATTTTTTATTTCATTATGCTTTTAACAGGGACCTAGGGACATCTCTTAACACTTCTGATGGTTCACTTGGGGATAGTTGATTTTAATAGAAAGTTGCTTCTAGCTTGAAAACAATTGAAATTTAATTTGACATGTGAAATAAAAGTGATCTTTCACTTGTTGTAAAAATTTGTATAAAAAATGTCATGCAGGCTTCAAACCAGTCACTTAAAATGCAAAAATCAAATTTCAAATGAAGTCTGATTGCTTGGTCATTCCTTATTTGCACCAGTGTAAGATCTCCTGTGTGAGTCTGCACAGACGTTTCTCACGGTTTGAGGAAGTGCAGAGGCGTCATAGAAGTGGCCCTGCTGGAATATGTAGGCAGAGTCATATTCTTCTCTCTCTTTCTTTCTCTCTCTCACTCACGCACACACACACACACACACAGTTTATAAAATTATTATTGTATGTCTTGGTTGTACCATGGAGGGTTTCTTTCTTTTTTTTTTTTGCTCATTTGTGAGTGTATGTGTCTACGAAAGCACTATTTGCGTCAAAATCAATAACCCTGCTGGAAAATAAGCCCAGCGAGCCAATGAAAATGCATAGGGCCAGTAAACCTCTGCAGTCTGTGTTCCTGTCTCGGTCAAAATGTCAACTTTCTGGTGTTAAAATAATTCAAGCCATGCAGGGTTAATTAACCTAATAACTTTGTTCATTTAAAACTCTCACACAGACTGGTCACACGCTGGTAGTTTGCGTGAAGTCAGCATTAGATAGTCACTTCCTCCTCATATGGATAGGAGGCTGTGGCAGTGAAGTTTCCATTGAATAACGCCATGATCTGGAGCAGTCACGGTTATTAAGCAGCACTAATCCACCCATCAACATGATTCTGCACCCACTGTGAGCTGTTGACAAATGTGTTTGTGGCTGAGTGTGTCAGCAGCTCACCTAAAACTGGACCAATCCAACACAAATTTTCAGATTCTTTTAGGTTCATGTCCAACCCTTTTTCTGCTGCAGTTTGTGTGAAAGTGGAATATGCTAATAAGACTGCTAAGTAGATTTAGAGGGGAGAGCAGGTGGTGTGGTAGGATTTTAGTCGCAGATGTTGCGAGTACGTTTTGGGGTTAATTTGAAAGTCTGTCAGACATTGGATGGAAGGAGCAGGCACGCGACACACTCTCGTCCTTTTACTGCCACCTAATGTGAATTTTGCCCCTTGACACTTCGTTGGGGAGGAGGAGGGGGAGGCAGTCTGAAGACAGAAGGTGAGAACCCACTTAAACAGGAGAAAGCCTCCACGCCGTGACCTCAGGGGAGCAGAGCCAGCTCCTCACCAGCTAGTGAGGAGGGGAATGAGAAAGCAGATTCCGATCTATAGTGCATTAGCATCAGATACAAGAGCTCATGACTTTTCACTGATAATAATCTTACGTATTGCACCGGCCCATTTGTACTCCACGGTTAGTGAGTCTGTCCAAGGTAATGAGTCTTATCCAGTGGGCATAATCTCAGAAAGCTAGGCCTACTGTATGCTAATCCCTATTTGATGGGTTGATTTGGATAAAAGCACCCATGCTTCCTGATGTAAAAATAAAAATCTATAGCATTTAAACAGGCACAATGCAGGATTCAAGTGTCTGTCTTCAGATAACAGTGTGATTGTTGTACTCTAGATATTTAATTTTCCTACTACTCAAAGTAGATCTAAACACTACAAACATTTCAGCGGTTGCAGTTGTTTTTTTATACGGACAATTTTTATTTTTTTTTTTAGCTTGAATGCTCTGTTTCAGCTCAACCATGATTCACACTGAAGTCAGTCAGCTGGGAGCTGATCAGTACAACCACAGCTGTTAACCGATATAGTACTGCTGGGGGTTAAACTGGATGTAGCTAAAGAAGGTGTTCTGTTTCTCTGAGCCAAGAAATTTGTCAGCAGCAACGTTCAAACCGCCAACCTGTCAGTCGAAACCTGTCAGAATTCACATATTGGCTTCTCTAACAAGCGCCCTTAGATGCTCCAGTGTGACTCTGTGAGACAGTGACTAGTAAGAGAGTTTAGCACCTAGACCTTTTTTTTTTTTTTTTTTTTTTTTTACTGAAGACATTTTGACATGTCACTGTAGGAAATAATGAATTAAGTATTAAAATGAATGGTGGCTGAATTCTATTTAGCTGCTTTACTGTGCAGAAAATATGAATCAACAATTTAATTTTGGGCAAAAATTACAAAACCTAGCTGGTTCCAACCTCTAAAATGTGACACTTTTTTTGCTTTTCTGTGGGGATGCACCAAAAGTTTGGCAACCAAAATGAATTGGCCGAAAATAGCAATAAATTTTACCGAACAATTACGTTGACATGTTGGCAGTGTGGAAGCATTTTAAAGTGTCCGACAAAAATGGCCGTTTGCAGACTCTGTTCTGCTGAATTGTCTCCTAGCACATCCACTCCATCTGTGGCTGACTTCTTAGAAAAGGCAAAAAACTGACAGGCAGGTGAGTGACTTTATCCTGTCTTTTTCTCTCTTTACAAAGACAAGTGTTGCAGTGTGAGAGTCCTACCTCAAGAGAGGCTGTGAAGTCTTCATGTTACGTGATACAAGAACCACATACAACATTATTTACCAAATTGGGTCGGATTTGATCAATTTAGCGCGAGGATACACGTGACAACGTCCGGTTTTCAAAATAAGGTGTCTAGACAGTATGGAAATAAGATTAATTGGATTATATTCACAGAATACATGTGTACATGTCTATTTAATTTCATGTAATGGTAAAAAATGTATGTCTATATTGTTTTGTTCATAGTGTGTATATTAGTGTTGTCTATTCTGTAGTTTGTCTGATTTTATTTTATTATTATTTTATTATTGTGTTATTGTATTATTGTATAAGTAAGCACATCGTGAGCAATGTACAATCCTGAGTCAAATTCCTCGTATGTGTACACATACCTGGCAATAAAACTGATTCTGATTCTGAAAAATGGCAAAATAAAAAACCTTATTAGGTATTTGGGGAAAGTTTTTCATCATCTTCGGTTTCAGCTTCGGTCAAGAATTTTCATTTCAATGCATCCCTACTTTTCTGTTTTATCGCATTGTAAATTGAATATGTATGGGTTTGGGCCTGTTGGTTGGACGCTACAAGCATTTTGAAAATGCCGCCTTCAAAATTGTAATAGGCAATTTTTACTATTATTTTTTACATTACCTTATCTATCATATCATCTCTAAGGTCTGTTTGTTCTCCCTCCCATACCTGTAAACACTACTCCTTGATATACACTGTTGTATTTGTGCATATGACTACTTTTGTTCTGAGCATGTGCATGTCTTTGGCTCTCTCTCTCTTAAGGAGATAAAGACGGCAGCAAGGTAACAACAGTCGTGGCCACTCCAGGCCAAGGCCCAGACCGACCACAGGAGGTGAGCTACACGGACACTAAGGTCATCGGTAATGGCTCGTTCGGCGTTGTCTACCAGGCTAAACTCTGCGACTCCGGAGAGCTGGTTGCCATCAAGAAGGTCCTGCAAGACAAGAGGTTTAAGGTAAAAGATGCGCACAGACACAAACACACTGTATCGTTCAGCTAACTCAACTCTTGCTTGAAACAAAGGGAAAGTTACAAGCAGCATGTATAATTATGGTGCACACTCTTTTCTCCTTGTCATCCTTTTTTTTTTAAAACAGTGTAACAAAGTAGAGATTTGCGGCATTAATGAATGTGACAGAGGAACTGTGAAAGAGACATGAATGGAGTGATCTTTCACAAGAACAGCGAGATCAGAGAAGCTGCGACAAGGCAAAACTTCTTAGCGTTTCGTTTTTGCCACATCCTTGCTTTAATGTGCGTATTTTCTTGCAGCAAGTGTGTGTGTGTGGCGGGGGGGTAGTTTTCTCCAACAAACAAGAACCAATGAATACTCATCTGTCAACTTTAATTCTGTTGCCACCATGAAAACGTCATATTTCCTTCCAAGCCAAGCTCTGCTGGAATCTTCCTCCTGTGCTTTGAATAGATTTGACTGATGGCTTGTTGTTCCTCGGCTGGGCAACATTGTCTCTGCTCCCTTTGTGGCGGCAGGCGGGGGGCAGCGTCCCTGCTGCTAGCTCACAGCACACAGATAAAAGACCCGAGACTGCCAAGCCTGCAGGACAGCTGTTAAGATTCTCATTAAGTTTAAAGTTGTCAGAGTTGAGGGTTATGGGTGCACAGTAACAGTCACGTTATTGGTCTTGGTACGGGATATGATCTCAATATGTTATCAAATTGGGACCAGTGTCAAAATTATGCCTGATATTTTGGACATATACATTCATTAGGTACACATAGCTTGAACTAATGTAGTCTAATACAATAGCCATAATTTACTCCTAACTTGGTGAAGGTTGTATTAAGCAGGCTGGCCTACCCTCATTTATTTCAATGGGACAAATTATTACTAACACCTCTCAGTAGAGCACAATATAATTCACCAGCACAACAAACTGCATCCTCCAAAATGGCCCTAAAGTTGAATCAACCACTCACTAAAACAACAAAAGCTGAACATTTTATTGCAGGATTGTTGGGCTGTATTAGTTTTAGACACTTGTACCCAATACACTGACAATTGAGTGTAATAACATGTATATAGCAATTACTATCCAATTCCTAATGGGTTCTATTAGATCTCACTTTCTATGCATTTCTAAAAATGTTCACGGTGATCAAAGGATGCTGATTTCCCCTTTTGGATTTTCAGAAAAATATTGTCATCTAAAGTGTGTCGGTCAACAGTGTTTTTAAGGAATCGCATGAAGAAAGAAAAGCCAGACCAAAGATTTCCCTAAATGTTATGCCAAGGGTTAAATTGATCTCTTCTATGCACACCACACTTCAGTTGCTTGTGTCTGTCACATTCCCTGGCTTTCAGAACAAGGCAGAGCATATACAGCCAAAGTGCACAGTTAAGATGATGCAACACAATGTGTGTGACTATAATGTTTTCCATATTGCGCAGAAAAACATACACAACCATACCTCTGTTGTACGCAGCTATTCAGCTCATTTAAACAAGCTGTGATTATCATAGAGGAGATTAGAAATTGGTGAGAGGCCCCTTAAAGGAAAAGTTTGACAGTTTCGGAAGAAGGCGTCCTCGTTTCACTGCTGAGTGTTACATGAGAGGATTGATACCACTCTGATGTCTGTACTGTAAATATGAAGCTACAGCTTAGCTTAGCTGGTGTGGCTTTCTTCAAACGTAACAAAATCCTATAGAAGAAGGCATATTTTTTCACTCTGTTGTTAATGTTAGTATATTATACACACACTCAGGTCTGAAATACACACATGCACAAACACAGTGTGGCGCCCCGAGCAGTTGGGGGTTCAGTGGCTTGTTCAACGCCACCTTCAACAGTGCCCAGGAGGTGAACTGGCATCTCTCCAGCTACCAGTCCATACTCTGTATCCGTGATCCGAGCGACCCTCCGCATATGTTGTTTCTTTCACCCTAACAAAAACTGAAGTGTAAAAAAAAATACCTGTTGCAGTGCCCCCAGAAAAATCACCACATTTCCAGCAAAGCTGCTGTTAGCTTAATATTTACTGTGCCGACACTAGAATTGTATCAATCATCTCAGGCATTGCACACTAGCTTAGGCTATACATGCTGTGGCATGTGGTGTTGTGTAAAGAAATCATTCCTTGAATAAAGAGGTAAAGTCATTTGGGTATGTAGGGTAGGTTTATCTGGACTATCTTGATTTTAATGGGTAAGACAAAGTTAGTCCCTTGATTAGAGGGTAGTCATTGTCTCTTGCTCATTATTTTACGTCTACTTTGGTTCTCTCAGGAGAATCAGGGTGTGTTAGCAAGAGAGGATGAGAAGGGATTGCAGGACAAGCCTAGGTGTCCCCAGTTGTCTCCGGGACTGCTGAGCTCCATCCCCATCCCCCGTGAGAGTCACTGAAGTTCAGTCAAAGTTTAGTCAGGTGTCTTGTCAGTACCCATTGCGTTTTCGCCCTGGGATAGTTGTGCTGAACCAACCGGTTCAGCTAAATAAAGCAGCTCAGTGTCGTAGGTTTAACCTTTTGGAGGGTTCAGGGAAGTGTTTCAGCAGGTGCTAGTCCTTCGCTATCCAAAACCACACAAGATAAATGATGCCACCCAATGGTGTGGGGGTGGACCATATGTCACAAAATACACAATTGGCCTCATGCAAGAACATTTTCGTATTCTTATCTGACTTTTTTGTGTAGTGGGCTCATAGTGTGCTACGTCAGATTCAGCAAACGTTACTAACTTTAGATAACTGTGTAAATTACATGTGTAATAAACATGATGAAGGCCTTCTGTGCATAAATTAACACGCATTAATGAGAATTTATGCGTGTTAATTAACATAATTAACACCCCATTAATACCATTAAGGTTACGCACCTACCCTGTTATGTCAGGAAGTGTTCATTCATGAAAATGACATTGAAGAGTAAAAAGAACTTTACGAGTTTGATTGAAGTCCTACTTTTGGAGATCCATAAAGAAAACGCTACCATTTCAAAAGTGTTGGCAGTGGAATTAAGGGAATATGGTTTGACCCTTTTTGTCACATTTGCAGAAGCACAGCCCGTGGTAATCTGATCTGCAACAACCATTCATCTGTCTCTGCTAATGTATCAGCACACTGTCACTTTCTTCCAAGGACCTGATGCACTAAGGCATCCCAAAGATTACATTTCCAACTGACCTTATTATATCCAGAGACAAATGAACCTTCAGATGGTGCATAATTTAAGCAGAGTTTGAGATGTTCATATTGATATTGTGGCGTTATACAGTAATATCAGAAGCCAGTTTAAATGATGATAGAGTTAGGCTAGTGTAATTTATATAGGAAGTAATGAAATATACAAACCATTAGAACATTTAAAATTCTGTGAAATTGGAGAATGCACAACTTCTTTCAAAATCACTTGTACAAGCCACTTAAACACAAATCTATTTGTATTGCCGGTTCTTGCATGAGGCCAGATGTTTCTTCTGAACTAGGGATGCATCGAAATGAAAAATCTTCTAAAAAATAATTAAAAAATTTGCCAGATACTGAGGTACATTGACATTATTTTACCTTTTTTTTTTTTTTTTACCATTGCATAAATTAAATAGTCAAACTTTGCTTTTTACTCAGTGTGTCCCACAGGATTTGGAGAGACTATGATGGGTGGGTGTGTCCATTTACTTTTAAAGGACACATGTAATATGTTTTATACTGTCTGTGAATATAATCCATTTAATCTTATTTCCATAATGTATAGACACCTTATTTTGAAAAACGGATGTTGACTCGTGCTAAATTCATCAAGTATGACCCAATTGGATAAATAATGTTGTATGTGGTTCTCGTATGGCGTAACATGAAGACTTCACAGCCTCTCTTCAGGTAGGACTCTCATACTGCAACACTTGTCTTTGTAAAGAGAGAACAGGATAAAGTCGCTCACCTGCCTGTCAGCTCGCACTGGTCCGTTTCAGTTACCATAAAAGCTTGAATACGTGTGCACTCCAAATTTAGGTGCGGCTAGCTTAATCGCCATCTCACAAACGAGTGACAGAAACACCGAAAGCGGGTCAGACCGTTTGTTGCCTTTTCTAAGAAGTCAGCCACAGATAGTGGATTTGCTAGGAGTAAATTCAGCAGAACAGGGTCTGCAAACGGCAAATTTTGTGTCTTTCTCGGACACTTTAAAATGCTTCTACATTGCCGACATGTCAACGTAATTGTTTGGTAAAAGTTATTCGGGCTTTTGATGTATTAGGCCGAACACCGGAAGTGCTTTTTTAGCTATTTTCGGCCGATTAATTTTGGTGGCCGAACAATCGGTGCGTCTGCGTGCTGACCATGATGAAGTCATATCCTGCTCTTCCTGTTAGCTCGTGGTTAGCATATCATGCCAGCAGGTTGCATCTTCAAACAGTGGTCCAGCTGAGGATCACGCTTATTGTTTTATTATTTTGGTGTTCAGTACCCTCTGTATAGCAGACCCCCTGCCTCAGCACGCGCCATTAAGCGTATGTTCCCCCCCAAACAAACATACCGAAACACCTGTTTTATTTTCTTCTTTTTACTTCCCCCTCCTCTTCAATAGCCTTTTCTTCTTTTTTTTCTGTCCCGATTTTGGTGATCATCTATGATCCTGGGTGAGAAGAACCATGCAAGTCCAACATGAGTAAAGTCAAACAGGGTAATCATGTGAGTAGGCTCTGTGTTAAGGTGCAGCTGATGAATGTGAGTCTTTCTTGGTTTACAGTTTGCTCCTGGAGCATTATGGGATAGGTTGTCTTCCACTCCCATCATAGGGATCACATATCAGCCTATTGGAAAATGGGTGCTCTCACACACAGACACAGAGTGAGGGTATGTCTGGTGGTAGTGGTGCCTAGCGGACACAATAATGCAATAAAAATGGATGGACATCAATATGGGTATTTTTTTAACCATTATTGTACCTTGAAATACTTATATTAAAAAAAGTGTTGCATCTACCTCAATTAATTACTGATTTAATGCACCACCAGGCGAGCATGCTAAGTGACACTAAATCAAACGCACATCTAGCACTGACATATCATTCCAATGGAGTCGCTGGGATTGGTGGATTTGCTTGCTGGGGGTGAAATACTGTAAATGTGCATGAATCTTTATCGTCAAGTTCAAATTTGGTACATTTGATATGTGAATTTGTGCCGTTCACCAATAGCAGGCTGTCTTTACAAAGCTGATTTATAAGGAATTGTCATTATTCCATTTTATTTAACCTTTTCTGTCATTATTAACTGCTCAACAAAAGACTGCTATGAGACAGGTTCATGGTACGAATGTGACTTTTTAATAAATTGTCTGAAAATATTGTCCTGTGAGTGACTTAGCTATCAAACATGCTAGTTGATAGAAAGCTAGCTAGCAAGAGAGCTTTTCCCCTTCAATCTTTATTGAATTAAATAAAAGATAAAGACACCAAAAGATACCAGAGTGGAGTAAACAGTCCGTACAGAGAAAATGGAAAGAAGCTCATTGTGACTGACTAGTTCTAGGATGTGTCTCCACGGCAGACGGCAGGCTAGTGCGTTAGCCATTAGCTTGCCACCTACAGCATTTCACCAGCTATCTCTGTGAGCACTGTTGTGACCAGGGCTTTACACATTATTGTTTGTTGACGATAGCAAAAATACAGACAAACACTGGCCTTATCCTTTAAGTTAGATGGGCTGTTTACGTTTCATCATCCATAAGCTATCACAGAACAGTAAAACCGTGTGTGTGTGGTTTTGTCTTGACTGTATCAGCACCATGAAGGTGTATCACTTCTAGCAGGCTTCACTTGAGGTGTCCTGTCTCTCGTTTTCTCTCAATCTGTCTCTCTCTGCCTCTGCTGGCTGGGCTGCTGACACACTGGAGGATGACAGGTCAGCAGGAATGACTGCAGTATAACTGGAGCTGGGCGGGGCTTTACTGAACAGCCTGTCTGCTCCTCCTCCATATGGTACAATTTTTCTCACACATAACAACACACACAGACACACCCTAAAACTCTTCCACCGAGCCACTACAAGAGGACGGGGGCATTGCCCGCAGTGCACGATGGTTCAATGGCTGGTCTGTGACCCGCACGCTATGTCACTTTATGATGAAGGGGGTTGTGTGTGTGTGTGTGTGTTGGTAGCGTAGACTGTATAAGAAAGGTTGGTAGTAGTTGTGTAATGGGTGGAAAGGTAGTGGGAGTACTGTGGGAACCATTTGTGTTTTCCTGTAAGTGAAATCGACTATACCAGGCTATTGAGCTACAAGATGCGCTGCTGCAGCTGCTAATGCTGCTGCTGAGATGATGAGGTCTTGTTTTAGAGGACAGACAGCTCATTCTGCTCTGTTAAAAAATGAATGAGCAGGGATTTAATCCTCAAAGTGGCAGAAAAGTGTGGAAGGGACAGCAGCATATCTCCCTGCGCCAGCCAGCATGGTCCTGACCCACATAACGAGGGATCTCATTAGCCAACAGTCTACCGATCAGCTGACTGAGTAATTGGGCTGCCGCTTTTATCAAAAGCGTCAGCCCAATTACACTATACATGTCAGAGGTTGCACACCTCAGGAGCAACTAGGGGTTAAGTGTCTTGCTCAGGGACACAACGGTGGGAATCGAACCCGGGTCTCTCACACCAAAGGCATGTGTCTTCTCCATTACACCATCACCTTGGGTTTTAGACTGCTGGTTAGATAGAACACGCATTTTGAAGACATCACCTTGGACTGTATTTCAGTTTCTGTTAATCTGCCTATTATTTTGTCGATTTAATTGTTTCTATTTTGGCATCTATAAAACTATACTAGTGAAAAATAAATCCAAAACCTAAAGATATTCTGTTTATTATCTCATAAGACAAAGAAAAACAACACATACTCACAGTTTATAGGCTGGAATAAAGGAATGGGTTTTTGGGGTTTTTTTTTTCCAACAATTACGTAATTATTACTTAAGCAACTGGTCATTTCAGCTCCAAAATAATTAATCAATAAAGTAATTGTCAGGTTAAACAATAATGAAGATATTTGTTAGTTGAAGCACCACATAATTATGCATATAACGTAAGTACTTATTCTAAAACAATTTTACTCTATAATGATTTGTATTTTCCATGTTCAGTCTATATTATTTGTTCAGATACCGGAGGAATTGTGTGGGAGTTTACACAAAATGCAGGTCAGATGGCGCATCAGGCTGCGACCAGTTAACTGCATGTCCCACAAGAGCTCCACCAACTTCACCCAGAAACCCACACAGTGTGCCTGGTTGAGCTGTTGGTGAGAGGCAAGACGGTTAGTCAGTAAGATTATTAGTCAGATAGTCATGCAGGGGCCTGTTCATTTGATCATTTTGTCAGCCAATTAGTTTGGTATTCCGTCTGCCAACTAGGGAATTAGTCAGCGAGCTAGTCTGCTGGTTAGTCACTCTGTCTCACTAAATGTAGGCTGTACGCTGATTACATTGTGGTTAGATTCATTATTAATATTCTGCACTCCATTGAGTTTTTACATCCCACATCCAGATTGAAACCTAACTTTCTGTAATAAAACTCATTCAGACTATTAAGTAGTCATTACTGTCAGTATAGGTGCTCTATATGGCTATTGTTCAACAATCAATCATAAAAAATAACCATATTCTACTATTCATGCTGCTCATGACTTAAAAAACAAAAGTTAACAAAAGATTATTATGTAATGGCTTCACTGTTCTGCCACTGTCTGATTTTACCTTTTGTCCCTGTATTCTGCCTTATTTCCTGGATTGTGACCACACTCTGTGAATGTTACACAGGCACTTTAGATCAAGTCAACACAAAGCACTGTGAATAGGGCGAGGAGGGAAACTGGAGAAACGGGAGGAAATGTGAACTATAATGGAGCTGTTAAAGCTTATTATAATGCTTGAATTCTTGCCCACCCTTGAGAGTGTTCATATACACAACCATTTTCCGCATGGACACACTGTATATGAATTTAGATGGTGTGCTCTACCGGGGTTCAGTGCTTACATTTTGTTCTAGTGGCCTTGTGAAAGCCTGCGGTTCGTCACAGTACGGGACCCAAGACAATTCTTACTTTAACAATTAATCTTTCTGTTGTAGGTCTGTGTTGCGATCTCTTCTTGCTTTCCAGGGCCCTTTCTCTGTAATTATTTATGGCTTTCATGGAAACAGGCAACATGCCGCGCAAAACAAGATTGTGTCGTCATGTTTTTGCCTGTGGCATTTATCCATCCATGAAGAATGAATGCCCATTTTTTTCCTGTTTATTAGCATTCTTTTGCTGCTACCAAATCCAATTTTCTCAAATCTTGATTCCTGACAAACTGGCACATTGAGCTTGTGACAATGATGTGGCTGACAACAAGATGATTATTTCGAGAGATGATTAGGGGCATATGTGTTTTCTATCATAAGATATGAAGTGTTTTTTAAGTGCTAGTCTGTATGGCCATACTGCATGCATTAAACCATGCTAGTGACATGTCTAACTTTTAGTCTGGTAAATAACACTTTGAGGAAACTGTTGTCATGTTGGAGCAACAGAAAGCTTTCAAGGTCTCCAAAAGATCCACAGATTCAAGTCTTTAACCATGAGCATGAAACGTAGATGTGACTTGAAACAAAATGTAATGTGTCATTCATGTTTTTGTTTTGTTCAGAACCGTGAGCTGCAGATCATGAGGAAGTTGGACCACTGCAACATAGTCCGCCTGCGCTATTTCTTCTACTCCAGTGGAGACAAGGTCAGTTGGCTTAGTGTGCTCCTTTTTATTCTTCATCCGCTTGTCTGAGGGTTTGTCTGCATAATTCATTGTGCTTGATGCCACACTGCAATTTTAGTCTCAACAAGTAGGACATTAGAGTTTGGGCATTCCCTTGTTGAATTTTGGCTGAAATGAAACAGCACTCTTAATGCAGAACAAGCGAAAGGGTTTATTAAATGTCTTTATTTAAATGTGCATATTTTGTTGTTTAAAACACAGACCTTGAATTCACAGTGTTTTTATCAGGGCAGTGATAGACAGATATTTTACATCTAGTAAACAACACAGACATTTCACTGGAAGTGCACATTATTTCATCCTTTAAAGTAATGACAGTGACAGAATTGAACAGTGGACAACCCGCTCCACCTCCATTTAGTTGGCTCACAATAAAAAGTGGGATGGAAATTCATTGTCTTCTCCTCTGTATATTGCCAAATCGGAACAATTAATCAATTCTTTGGCATATTACAGTTTAAACAGCTGTTACATTCAAGCAACTCTTCTTGAATGCCCGAAAGGAGGCAGAAAAGATAAATCTCTTCTTGCCCTGCATACGAGTGCCTAAAGAATATTTCTTTTTAGTACTCGCTTTTTCATCTTCAAGAGCGCCTTAAGGTTCCCGGGACTTACTGTGTGTTTAAATGATTTTGTGCTTCAATCAAAAGAGTAAAATAATTTAGCTTTCTAAACATCTCCAGTACTTATTGTAATCACTATGAATAAACACAGTATCTAACAAGGTAATTCATTTTAGCATTTTTGCTGTTTAGCCATAGTCTGTCTTTTGTTTTCCTGGGACTTTTAGTTTTTGATGTTGCCTGTGTTGCCTTTTGAACTCGCTGCCTGTCAGCTGCACCACCTCCCATCATTTGTCTTCCTCTTGGCCTGTTTGGCCATAATAAATTCATTAGCACAGTACATTGTGACAGGGACGTCTTGCTGTCTGTGTCTGCCCACCATTGGAGTTCCCCTGGAGACTACAAGGCTGCACTATGTCATTCAACTAGCTGACAAGCAGGCAAAGGTCCATGTGTCAAATATAGACACAAGTGAACCTCGCGCGCGCACACACACACACACACACACACGCTGTTGGGACTATACTCATGACACTGCAGTCAGGAATGCATCCATGTTGCACACCTATTGAGGCCAAGGAAAGCTGTGGGGGGATTATGGGGGAGAGGTGAGGGTGGGTGGGAGTAGAGACGACTGAGAGATGGATAGGGGGCATCTATTTGCCAGACTAGAGGGTATCTGTTAATTATAGAGTCACCCGAGACCTCGCCTCCATGCAGTAGGCTCCACCCACTTATCACCCTTTGCCTCATGTGCCATGTGCTCACTGAGCTCTGGGAATCACAGCGAATTCTTGGTATACTGACAGCCGTGACGTGTCACAGAAATGACCCTACACCTTCCCAACTTGACTTTTGCAACCACAGAAATAAGTTATTTTGATAATCCACAACTTTTGTTTGTGTCTGTTGTTGCTTCCCCATTTACGCCGTGCTCCTTTTCATATCCATTTCTTCTCCCTCCTCCCCTTCCCCGCTTACCTTATCACTCTGGGCTAATTATGGACACTGGTACCATGTTGTTGGTATGGGGATTTACCTCCCATAGAGCCCAGAGTGAGAAAAGAGAGGGGGGAGGGCTAGTGGAATAGATCACTAAATCATAAAAGATAATGTCGCCTGGATAGGGAGGTTAGTGGATGGATGGCGAGTTGCATACAAGTTGATGGATAGATGGCAGACGTGTTTAAAAGCAGAGGGTGAGACAAAGATAAGATAAAGTCAGGTCAGGTGTGCTGTTGGTGTCTTAATTGGAGGGTCTGTGCAGGGTTAAGGCAGCACGTGCTCAGGTAATCTTATGTAACTGCTGGCATACATAGTGTGCTTTTGCGTTTACTCTTTAGACACTTGTATAATACTGTTTAAACAGAAGGCCACAGATCCAAACAGCATAGGCAGGTATGTAAATAGAGGTTTGACTTTTACCACAATATGTAGTTACCTCCACTGTGGTTGCTTCTCAAAATCTCATCTGTGTACATCTGTGTGCACAGAAAAGAACACGCTTGCTTGTAGTGACTTCACTTTTTTCCCCAACATGCAAAAACACATGCATCAATAATCTTGCCAGAGTGCTTTTTAGTTCACCAATATGAATTACAACATTCATAAACCACTGGAGACATGACAGCATTAACCTACTAGCGGATGTTGTTGCGCCCCTGTTGACCCCCGCCTGTCTCACCTACAATTACTACAATTGGAAGCTTAATTATTTGCAAAGAGACCCAGAAACCAACCAGTCCTCCTATGCTGGAATAATTCTGCCTGACCCCAGGTTCCCTGCATGTGCCTGGTAATGACTTGTGTGGTAATTTGATCAACTACACCCTCTTATTTAGGAATATGTAACAATATAAAGTGCAATATAATAAAAGCTCTTAAAACTAGATTTTGTCACAGGACTGAAAGATTAAGGCAAAAGCATTAATGATACTATATTGCACCTTACTGTTGGCGATTATACAGCATGTACAAATAACGGACAAACACTACTTGGTGCTTTCACCCTGTAGGTATGTGGTGAGAGACAGCTGCATGCTTTGTGTTGTTGGTGATCCATCCTTGAGTGGAGGGAGGAACTGCCTGAGCTGCTTTGAGCAGAACCGACACGTCTTTGTATTTTAATGTTTCATCCTCTGATGCTCTGACGCTTAGGGTGGATAACCAACCAGGCAAAGTGGACAACTGCCTCATGCCCCCTTTGTGGTAATTTGATTGATAATAGCTAATCTGTTTGACAACATGAACCACTAAAGCATTATATAAACTGAAATTATACAGGCTCTAACGCCCTGTTAAAATCTAGCCTTAAATCTTTTCAGTTGATATTGTCTTTAGGTGGTGCATATAAAGCTATGTTAACTCAGTACCTCACACTGTATCCTGCCTGGGGCAGAAAAGTATTCCAGACTAGTTGTACTGGTTGGTTTCTGGGGCTCAAGGCATAAATACTGAATGTCCATGTGTAGTCTGCTTGTTGCATTTTACATTATGGTCACTTGAAGACGACAGTAGGGGTAAAGGTGGTTGGATGGGCCCACAGCTTATTATTGCCCTGGGCCCTCACCATCCCAGTGTAGCTCTCTAATGGCCTCTATTCCAACACACACACACAGGATTTGCCAGCGAAAGTGAGAGTTTATGGTAATGCTAATGCCCGGTATCTGGATGTGGCCCCTGCACATACTTGTAGACTTATTCTTAGATCTGTAGTGCCGAGTTGCAACTGTCTTCATTAGTGTGTGTCAAAGAATGGATAATTCACTCACTGTATGGCCCTCTACCTCTTTCTGTGTCTATGATTTCACAGATTTATTAACACTGACTGTTGTGTAAATCATATGGATTCACATGTGCATGATGTCAAGTGCTAACTTATGTTATGTGTCCAGTATGATTGCCATACTTGGCAAAGGGCACATGACCAGGAATCACAAACCCACATGCTAATATAAGCTTGTGGAAACTGACATGCATGCTGTATATTACATACTGCCCAGATTCCATCAGTCCCCGTCTTTTACACACCGTAGCATGGTGATTGTTGTTAAGACAGCTGAGCCAGTTGTTCAGGTGCAAGCGTTTATCTCAGCAAATTAGAGTCTGAGTTATTCAGTCGGGTGTGAGCAAGGAACCAATCAGATTTCCGCTTGGCTAACCATTTGGGAGCAAGCCAAGGAAGTGGCTTTGTAGTGAGGCAGGAAGTGAGTCATTGCTGTTGCTAGGCTAAATATAGCTTTAGTTGTGCTAGCAGGAGGCGGAGTGGGTCTTCTAGTCGTCACAGATGTTATCAATGGGAGTTTTGCTAGCGGAGAAACGCACATGGCTGGAGGAGAAAGGCACACAGAGAAAGAGTGTCGGGGGGAGGTGGTGCCAATAACAGTCAATGTGTAAACGAAGCTACCAATGTCTGAGAGCTGTCCGGGAAATGCTGCTCAACGTCATTGATATCTGAACCTGCTCGTGTTAGGCTGTCTGCCCGGCCCTGTGTATGTGTCTGATTGAGTGTGAGCGGGAGAGAGCAGTCAGTACAAAGCAGGGCATTGAGCTGACAGAAGTGTACCACGCAGTCTGTCTGGGAGCTCTTTGCGGGCCTAGCTCACTCACTGTGCAATGCAGACATGCAGGAAGAAGCTCTTTCCACCAGGCTAAGCTGCTGACTATTGCTAACAGATGGGGAGAGGAGGAAATGGGGAGAGAATAATTAAATTAACTGAAGCCCTGACATTTTACTCCAAGGCAATATGTCCCACAGGTGTGTGTTTAATGGTTGGACGCTAGTCAACAGTACTAGTCAGTGACACTATTACATGTGGCACTGGTTGTTCATTTCCCCGCTGGTGATGTCCAGCTTTCTAGTGCTATCCTTTGAAACATTAAGCATTAAACATTAATTGATTAAAAATCACTTAAACAGAACAAATACCCATGTGTGATACCCACAATAAAGCACTGCAGGTGAGCTGTGTTACAAGATTTGTGCAGGTTATGTTTGACACCTTAAGGCTGGCAATATTTTATATTTTCCTACTGTCAGGAAATCAACAAGTATTGCCTGTGTATCCAAATCCTCATACAGCTTATCATCCGTGCCATAGAGCTCCGTCGTTGTCTGAAAATGAAATCAATAAGGTCACTGGTTGACATGTAAGAACATGTCCACTGCAGTTCATTCAAATCAATTCCACATACAGTGTCCTGCTGTTAAATAATTACTGTCTGTATTCATCCAACACTGAAATTAGTCCCCAACAAATGCATTACTTACTACTATTATTATTATTATATTAGTTAGATGGACTGAACTATTATTGGTTTGTGGATAGACGGTAAAATCTGAATCTGAATGCTGATGAGGGAAATGTATAGAGACACTTGTTCTAGTGATTAAATGGTGATTAAATCAGCCTTCTAAAACCGTAATGTCCCTAGATTCAGCCTGTTGCTGTCCCATCACCCAACCTCTTAAGCAGGCCAAAGTGTGTCATCTGAAGGCTCGGCTGTTCCTCTTAACAAACCATCAGGGACAGACAGGCTAAGTGTGAATACACAAATGAGTATGTGAGTGAGTTCATCTGTGAAGATGCTTTGTATGTAAAAATATTGACAAACCTGCGACTTCGTGACTTACAGGTCTCAAACAATTGACTCACAATAAATACCCGGTGACTCAGTGCGTGTTAAACTATGTTCAGAATCAAAGGAAAAAGGAAGTCCTAGAATAATTGGGTGGAGAAGCCTCAGACACAGCATCCTGTCAGGGTCAGAGTTGCTCCAGAGTTGAGCGCGCACACCCCGACCTCCAACAAAGGCCTCGTCCAACCAGGAAATGATATCATTGTCTGTGGCCACTCTTGGAGTACAGGCCATCATGACCATACAGTCTATGTCATGACGCATGGCTGTGCGTTTCCTGCCCTCTGGGAAAGAGTCCTGTACAATGGATCCCCAGTTAGATTGCGAAAGAACATCCAGTTACATCAGCTCACAAACGGCCTCTTCCTCGTCACAGCTCAGGAGAGAAACGACAGACACAGAGAGGGAAGAGGAAGGGATGGGAAGAAAACATTCTCCAAAATAAATTGACATACTGGGCAGCTGGTTCATGGGTGTGTGCATTTGTAGGCCATGAATGAGATTTTTATTTAATTTCTTTTGTAGGATTTGTATTGTTGGGAATTGCAGGGATTTTCTAGTCATGCTCAGTGTCTTGTAGGGGTAAATTTTGCTTGACATTGCAAACAATAATCATTTTTTTAATAATATTGTTTTGTATGTGACCTCTGTTTTCTTGTATTTGCTTCTCTCCAACAGAAAGATGAAGTGTATCTGAATTTGGTTCTGGATTATGTCCCTGAGACTGTCTACAGAGTGGCCAGACACTACAGCCGAGCCAAACAGACTCTGCCCATGGTTTATGTTAAGGTACAGAAGTGTGTGTGTGTGTGTGTGTGTGTGTGTGTGTGTGTGTGTGTGTGTGTGTGTGTGTGTGTGTGTGTGTGTGTGTGTGTGTGTGTGTGTGTGTGTCATCACAAGAAGTGGTGCGCTCAACTTTATAGAGCATCCACACAATCTCAGTAGGGTGCCATAAAAATGTCTGGACCCTCTTGAACTTTTGGTTCAACAAAATGTTATTTTGTCTGATTTTTCTAATGATTTATTTACTCTAAAGTAAGATCAGTCTTTAAATATTGAAATAAAAGAGTAAAAAGTATGCTAAAGTGTAAATTACAGTATATTGAAAGTAACCAAAGTATATAATAAACACAGGTTTATAATTTTTGCGTCATTGTCTTAGTGAAAATATAAATTTTTATCTCTATAATTTTCTCTCAGTATTGTAGCAATTATTATTATTTTTTTTTTTTAGCTGTCTGATAACGGATCTCACTAGAAACTCAGTGGATTTGAAGGTGCAGGATGTATTCTGATTTAGAAAGCATGAGCATCTAGTGTTGAATGTGAGGTACACGGGATCGTTTCAGTGACTGTATCTCCCCAGACACTGTACAGGACTCGCACCTGTATATTCTTGGATGAAGTACAGAGAGTATAATCATTCATTTTATTAAGATATGAACCTAAAGCTTCCATAAACGTACAACACATTCCATACTATGTTTGTTTTCTAAATCCAAATTTCAAAATCTACCAAAGTTCCTCGGAGACCTGCTATCAGCTTTTATTTGCTAAAAACGCCTGCACCTATAAACTAAAAGAGCTACAACATAACATGACTTTATCTTCTCATTATCACTAGGCTTCTGCTTCTGGGTACATAGGGGGGTATTGACTTGTGCTTACACTACACGCACAGATCAGTTGTCACTTTTCAAGACAGAAATGTGAAACGAACATGAGAATAATTTGCAAAGGCAAAAAAACTCATTATAGACTCCTCATCCCAAATGACTCTCATATCTCAGTGAAATAATTGAAAAAACACCTCCAGTTGATTAGTCCCACAGAGCAGAAGAAGCACTCAGTTACCTTTTGAACTACTATGCACCAATATAAATATTCATTAGCCCAGGAAGTGTGGGATGAGAAGACCCTTGCACATATTGGCTCAGCATATTAACACAGAGAAGCAGTTTTAGTCATCCTGCAAGAAAATAATGACCATGGTTGAGATGCTTTAAAGCAGAACTGAGCTGTATGAAGACTGTTGCTTGCTTTTATTTTAAATTATATGATGGTTTAAAAGAGGCAAATGAGTTTTTGTATACATACATCCCCATGTACCATCCATCAAAATCACCCGGTTTCTAATTGAATCTAAGAAGAGAAACAGGCCTTGCAGTTGCTGAAGTGTGTTTCATTTTATCCCTACAAGGCCGGTTGTCAGCAAGGTTCAGGAGTTTGAAGAGGCAATGTGAGCCGCTGTAGTCTAAACATTTGCTGATAAGATAATTGATCCTTGAGTGGTTCTTTCCAGAGTTAAAACCCTGCAATGAAAGCTGAGCTTGCTGCTCGTGTAGTCGTAACCTGTGTTTTTCTTCGCGTAGTTGTACATGTACCAGCTGTTCAGGAGTCTGGCCTACATCCATTCGTTTGGGATCTGTCATCGGGACATAAAGCCCCAGAATCTGCTGCTGGATCCAGAGACCGCCGTGCTCAAGCTCTGTGACTTTGGCAGGTGAGACGCAGAAACCAGGTTTTGTCAAGTTTCGACGGCAGTGTTCTGGGTCTTCCTGCCAGTTCAAGGAATAGTTTTGCATTTTGGGAAATACGCTCATCCATGTCTTGCCGAGAATATGGAGCTACAGTCAGCAGCTGTTTTTCTTTTATGGATTAAACAAAGAATATATAATATGTTTGTGAGCTGGTTCTTTTCCTTTTAGACAGAGCCAGGCTAGCTGTTTTCAGTCTTTATGCTAAGCTAAGCCACTCATCTCCTGGTTGTAGTTTCCTATTTAGCATATAGGCATGAGAGTGGTATCTGTCTTCTCATTTAACTTTAAGCAAGAACGTAAATTTTTCCAAAAATGTCAAATCTCCCTTTAAATAGTCCTTCAGATGAGACACGTGGAGACTGTAAAGTGTTCATCCCAATGTGTCATCCTAGTGCTAAATCCTAATCACGAGGCTTTGCTTTAGGTAGGGATGCACCGAATGTTCGGCCACAGAAATTAATCGGCTGAAAATAGCAAAAAAATTTGGAGTGCACACGTATTCAAGCCTTTATGGTAACTGAAACAGACCAGCAGTGCGAGCTGACAGGCAGGTGAGCGACTTTATCCTGTCATTTTCTCTCTTTACAAAGACAAGTGTTGCAGTATGAGAGTTCTACCTGAAGAGAGGCTGTGAAGTCTTCATGTTACGCGACACGAGAACCACCTACGACATTTTTCATATTGGGTCGGACTTGATGAATTTAGCGTGAGGATACACGTGACAACGTCCATTTTTCAAAATAAGGTGTCTATACAGTATGGAAATAAGATTAATTGGATTATATCCACAGAAAGTATAAAACATATTACATGTGTCGATTAAAAGTAAATGGACACACCCACCCATCATAGTCTCTCCAAATCCAGTGGGACACACTGAGTAAAAAGCACATTTTGACATTTTAATTTATGCAATGGTAAAAAAAAATGGCATAAATGTATGTACTTGTTCGGCCAAGAATTTTCATTTCGGTGCATCCCTAGCATTAATTTCACATTTTCCTGTTTTTGGCCAAAATGCCGCAGTGTGGTGATGATAATGACTGTGTGCTTTGATTTTGTGTGCAGTGCTAAGCAGCTGGTCCGTGGGGAGCCTAATGTGTCCTACATCTGCTCTCGCTATTATCGAGCCCCTGAGCTCATCTTTGGTGCCACTGACTACACTTCCAGCATAGGTAGAAGTCACCATTTAACCCTTAAACCCTTAATAAGTTTAACCTCAGCACATATATTGAATTTATTATATGTTACATATGATGCATTTGTCACGTAAATTGAATATTAGGGGATATTCTGTATTGTTTGCTGCTCATCCAGACTATTCCTTTGTAGCACAAGTGGATTATGGTAATGTCTGCCCCTCATTTGCATGTATCCGACTTCTTTTTTCATTTTGGTAATCTTCCTTTTCCGTTTTAGATGTGTGGTCAGCCGGCTGCGTGCTGGCAGAGCTGTTGTTAGGCCAGCCAATCTTCCCCGGTGACAGTGGAGTGGATCAGTTGGTTGAAATTATCAAGGTAATGACTGGGGTAACCCACAGGGTGTGAAAGTCTTCGTATATGACACTAAGTGGTCAGTTTTTCCAAATGCTAATAGGAGTTTAAGTTAAAATCATAACATTGCCACCAATCTGTACTGTTCTACCCAGGTTCTCGGCACCCCAACCCGAGAGCAGATCCGTGAGATGAACCCCAACTACACTGAGTTCAAATTCCCCCAGATCAAGGCACACCCATGGACTAAGGTGAGTCAACAGGTACAGGAGCCCTTTTACTACTTCAACATCTTTTCTCTTCATGCTTGTGTTGCCAACATGCCACTTCACACCCACCCAACCTCATCACATCCACCCAGCAGGGCTGCATGAGGCCTGAATAGCCTAATCTGAACTTTTTAGACCCTATCAAGAATGACAAAAAAGGATAGGAAATTACAGGCTAAACAGTCAACCTCACACAATTGTCATAAAACTCACCTCTTTTTTTTTTTTCAATTTGTAGCACCCTTTAATAGCAGCAGTAGCATGTCATATGTGTTTTTAAACGAATACATTACATTAGTTTACATTTATTTAGCAGATTAAACAGAGCAGATTTAACATGCTTCTAGGGTTTATTGAGTATCTTGAATCTGTGTCATCTCAGTCACAGCACAGTGTCTTGAACCACAAACTGACCAAAGTCTGTTCCGCTCGGTCAGTCCTTACTTTGCGCTGCTTTATCCACCAGTCTGATATCGACAGTACAAATTGTCTTTAAAAAACTGTCACAGTAGTTCTCCACTTCATGCTCTCATCTTGGTGCATGTTTTAAGTCGTAGTCAAAATAAAACGGGTGGGGGAAAAAAAGGGAAATTTTCTCCTCCAGACTTCCCCTCAGCAGTCCCACCCACAGCTCTTGCATTGGAGAATAGTCTTCCATTCAGCAGGCTGCAGCAGGTCCTGCTAATGGCCTCTCTGGCGCCCTGCTGTGGTCGCTCCCCGCAACTACATTCAGCCAGTACTACAGTCCACTCCTGCAGCAGTCAGACATTCATTCATTCATCACAGAGTAGGTTTTATTAAATACACTGAAGATAATTTGGAATGCACAAGCTCATTTATGTGTGTGTGCATGTGTGTTAAAAAACATTGGATTGTCCTCGTTTGTTTGCCAACACTTCAGAACTGACTCCATGTGTTCACTGTTGACGCCGTCCTTTGTGTCAGGTGTTCCGGCCGCGCACGCCTCCGGAGGCCATCGCCCTGTGCTCTCGCCTGCTGGAGTACACGCCCACGGCCCGTCTCACCCCTCTAGAGGCCTGTGCACACTCCTTCTTTGATGAGCTGCGTGATCCCAACGTCAAACTGCCCAACGGGAGAGAGAAGCCCTCCCTCTTCAATTTCACCACCCAGGGTATGCACACACACACTCAAAACAGAAATCATTAACATGTGCTCGGAGGCAAAAAATAAAAATAAAAGAAGAAGCGTGCTCTGAAATTTTATTAAAAACTGTTTGTGCAGGCTTGGGAGTGTGCAGTCTCTGAGTGCTCTTGAGTTTGAAAATGATTCCTTCAGTTTACCAATATATACACATATTTACTGGCCTTGAAAAACACAACAGCCTGTCACATCATCTTCCATCTATGTGAAACTCCTAAAGTGTCAAAATATATATCTAAATGATTTGTCGTAAGAATAATGTTTTTAATTGTGTGACAATCTGTCTAGGTCTGCAACTATTGACTATTGTCGTTATCGATTATTTTGGTTATGAAATCTATGTATGTGAAAAAAGTGAAATATCCATCAAGAGTCCAAGTCTTCTTTTGTCTTACGAAAAGCTCAAAACTTATTTATTATTTTAGTAATGTTATTTTCTGTTAATTATTATAGGAGACTAAGTAAACACCAAATATTAACATATAGAACCAAAACTTTTTTTCATATTTTAGCTTAAAAATGAATTAATAATCAAACCAAATTCTTTCCACTGACTAACCGTATAATGAACTAATAGTTTTAGCTCAAAATCAGTCCAAGCATATTAGTATTGGGAAAAAATGATCTCTGTCTGCAATCTATCCAGGAAACCTTGTGAAAACATGACCTGGTGTAACGGTTGTTCTTTCTCTTTCAGAGTTATCCAGTAATCCCTCTTTGGCCTCCATACTCATCCCTGCCCATGCACGCAGCCAGGCCGCCGCCTCTACCCCTACCAACGCCTCTGCGACCACAGGTTACCACTTTTATGTACCGTGAAGCTCTATTTATCTGTTGGAAGTATTGGTTGTGACTTATCTACCGTTATCTACCAATCTCCTAACAAACTTTACATAAGTAATTCTTGGGCTCTAAATTATTCTCTCCCCTTCCTGTCCATAGATGGCAGCAGCACAGAGCGAGGTCCCAGCACCACCACCGCCTCTGCCTCGGCCTCCAACTCCACCTCCTGAGTCCACAGAACACCCGCCCTGCCCCGGTCTCAGCCCCAGCCGACGGCCTCTCCATTGCCCCGGCCAGGGGGTGAGCTCCGCTCGGCTCTGCTCTGCCCTGCTCTCCTCTCTGACAGCAGCGGAGCGATGCTGACGCGGTCCGGGTTCAACAGCTAGCCATCAGCCCCGTGCCACAACCACAAACCAAGCATCCCGAATCAGCCTCTTTGATCCCTTACTTGGCCCCTCATCCAGCTGTTTGAACTCTACTCCATCCTCCGTCAAAGACATCTCCCCGTTCCCTTTCAACGGGGAAGCAAAGTGCAGGGCCAGAGGTGTTGTCGACTGTACTATTTATAAAAGTACACTGTACATGTATACACAATGCTAGCCTGCTAATGTTTGTAAGAGGACAATCTGTAGAAAAAGTCCTAAGCTGTTCCCCTTGGCCCTCACCCTATCCAGTCTTCCCCTTTTGTCCTACTCCACATTGTCCCATTTTTCTGCATTCTCACCCTTTGACCCCTGACCCCTGTGTCCCCTGGCAGATGCCCCACCCCCCTTTGGTTCCACCTGTAGTGCATGGCCTGAGTATGGTTAGGATCACCCGTGGGGTCACCCCGCCCTCTCACTTCTCACCTCCACTTCCGCAGACAAGGCATGAGGCTCGCTCACGGGTATACACACATACACACTCATAAACAAACACACACCCACATCCTCACACACACATACACACACGCGGATGCATGATGATCCTGATGTATGTGGAAAGAAGCAGTCCACTTGCAGGCATAACGTTTGGACAGGTTGTTTTTGTTTCGTGTCCTGGGATTGTTTTTTAAATGGTTAGCGAGCTGTTTTACTCTACCTTGTTTTTAACTTTTTGTTTTGTACTCCTGGGCAGATGTTTTTGGATTGCCATGTACGATGGATGTGACATGTATCTGGTCCTGTGTGCTTGTAAAATATATACATACAAATACAAAACAAACATGCGTACATACACAGTTTATATATTACTTTTCCTTATGTATAAAAGTATATATAGATATATGTATATTAACTACAATGGTTCAGAAATCATTTATGGTGAGCTCATATCTGGCTGAGCAGCGGCAATATTTGCTGCTGTCTAAAGAAAATAGATTTAGATAAGATGGTGTTTTGTTTCTGTTGCTGGAGTGTGGTTAGATTCCAGCAGTCACTTTCCTGTTCTACTGTGTTGTCTGTATTAAGGCTGTAGATGGATTTAGGGCATTGCTCTAAAATTCCCTGTCTTTGTACCGACTCTGTCTGTGACAGTGACAGTGCAGTGTCTAGACAAACATCTTGCCCTATCTGGCCCTTCCTCTTTCTCTCAGTCTCTGTGAAGAATTCAAGATGTTTCTTAACACTTTTCTTTCCTCTGCTCCTTGGGAAGCCTCAGCAGCGGTCTCTGGCTCACCGCCGACTGTCTCCTGTGTAGTGACCACTGACTGAAGCGTTAGCCTAGCGTTCTTTCTCCTCCACCTGCCGCACATAGAGCCACTCGGTACAGTCTGTCAAAGCGTCTTATTTACAGAGAATACTCACTACATAAAAAAAAAAGAAGAAAGAAATAAAAGAAAAAAGCAGAATTTGTATATACAGTATAAATGCTCCTCACCAAAATTCTGACTTGTATGTTTTTTTTTTATGTTGTTATGTTGATTATTTTTTCCATGTTGTGTTCAAGGTATGTATATATGCAGACCCATGTACTGTTTATGAGCAAAAACAAAGATGACAAAGGGTAGGGGAAGAAATGAAAAAGATTTAAAAAAAAAAAAAAAAAAACAGAATCAGGGCAAAACTGATGTTGTTTATGGATATTGTAGATGATGATCAGCTTTATCCAGCCATATGTTCAGTCTTACCTGTACAGTACAGTAGATGACAGCTGTATTATTGTAACAAGAACTAGTCATGTATAGTGTAACTATAGTTTGGAGTGCCTTTGCTTTCATACACCTTCGCCTCCCCCTCCCCTATCACCCTGCTGTCACCCCCCTCCCATCCTGATATTGTGACTCTCCCTTTGGTGCTGTTGAATGTCCTGCTATCCTAAAACACATGCACACACACATCCACACTCTTCCACTTGAATATCAGTCCCCTCCGCCCGCACCTCTTTTTCCTCTTTCATTGCACACTTAACTGTAATACACAGACAATGCTAATTGTAAGGATATTTTCCTTAACTGAAGATACAGTAGACGTGTTTATTTTAACAGATGTTTTATCTTGGACACACATGCACATCACAGTCCTGGCACGGACTCCGGGGCATGAAGTGGGTGCGGGGGCGGGTGTTATGGATGACAGCAGGGGTTCAAAAAAGGTCTCATATACTGTATATATACAGTAGTTTCTGTATTACTCGCAGTGTTGGTTCTGTTACCAAAGCCAAACTAAGATGTAGTTGTGATGAGCCATCCTCAGAGGCAGTCTGGTATTCTGTCTCTCTTCTACTCTCTGGATATTTTGTTGTTTCTCTGTCCTCTTGCTTGTTCTTCTCCCCTGTCTGCATATTCGGGAAGGGAGGGGGGGGATTCAGTAGCACCTAAGGGGTCGAGTCATGTAGCGTCTCTCCTGTCTCCTGCTTGCTGTAATTTTGCATTCATGAACGTGTTGCTACCACCAGAAAGTTTGACCACCTCACCCTACCCCTAACTCCAGTTCAATAAAAGCATCACAAAAGTTACCAAAAAAGAAGACAAGCAAGTATATATGCTAGTATAATGTATACTAGCATATATACTACTTGACTATGCTAACTGGGGTTAAAGAAAAGAAAAATCATAGAAAATACTACAAAAACATCCTGTATAACAGTACTACTACTTGAATGCCTCTGTTTGTGACTGAACTTTTTATTTCTTTTGTTTGTTTGTTTTTCCTTTGTTCTGTGAAGATATGCTAAATGTGCACCTCTGTAAATATTCCCTCTGCGTGCTCTGAGGAATAGTTCCCTGGTACTGTAATTTGCATTAAATAAAGAGTAGGATAGCCTGGAAATGAACAAGGTCCTTGTCTGTTCTGTCTTCTTTTAGCGAGTGCGCTGTTGTCTCTTCACATAGCCAGAAACTTTGGAAAACTTTTTTGAACTTTGGAAAGCAAACGGGATGTCAGAGTCGCTATGTATGAAGCCGCTCTAAGTTTTGGCCTTAAATACATCAATACTTTAAGATTGATATCATTTTAGGAATATATGCATACAGGAATGTGATTCATACATGTTCCTGACTTGGTCTTAGCTGTCAAATTGCAGCGGCTGAAGCTTCACGCCTAAGATATCTTGGAAAACTGTTAGAAGTTGATAAAAGATACAAACACTGACTACTTAAACAACATAAAAGGAGGTCATGAGATGAGCACTCCGGCATAAGTGTGATTCTTCTAAATGTTAACATTAAAATGTATGTTTATTTGCCAGGGGATCTCAGGCAGGCAAGCTCAGTATCCTTTTCTTTTAAATATCTTCTTAAAACTCACTTTTATCTTATCGCTTTTTCTTAAACTGATTTTATTTGTTGTAATTATTTAAATGATTTTATCATGATTTATATTGTATTTTATTTACTTTTATTATTTGTTTTTATTGTAAAGCACTCTGTAACTTACTTTTCAAAGGTGCTATATTAATAAAGTTATTATTTTATAATTATTACATATTATATATACCATACTAAGCCATGCTAGCAGCTCTGTGACACTGTACTTATGCACAGTGGTGCTTTGAGTTAAACCCTAACATCAACATGCTAACATGCTCAAACGACAATACTAATATACTTATGTCTAGCAAGTATAACGTTTACCACATTCACAATTTTAGTTTAGTGTCTTGGCCTGCTAACATTTAGTACTAAACACAAAGTACAGCTGAGACTGATGGATAAGCTTTTAGTTTTGCAGTTATTTAGTCTTAAACCAATATTTTGTTGAGATGATGGTGCTAGATGAAAGGTCAGAGGATCACCAAAGTTATTTCAATTTACCATATTACGGACACATCTATAGCTGTAGTCCTTATTTTACATTTTAGACTGCAGTCTGCCCCTAAGAATCACATGTACTAAACTTTGTTAAATACTAGACATGACTTTCCAGTCATCCTCTGTCTTAGTATGACCACAGTGGGGCAGTGTTTGTCCTATTATACTGTTAATGACCCTAGAAGCACCATTACACATTTCAATCTGAGGAGTATCTTTATTTAGTTTAATTCATAATAAATGTATAGCATTTCTGTCACATGACGGCATCAAAACACAAAACAACCTGAGGTAATAAATACAGCATTTTCCATTCTCTGAGAAAATACATACTTCACGGCCTCTGACCATGTGACATTTAAAAGAACTTTAAATAAACATTAATTCATATACACACAAATGACACAATGGGTACTTAAGGTGAGCAAAACAATTAACATGTCAATGACAAATCTACCATCCACAAATACTGTAAACTGTTAACAAAATAAACTTTGGAAAACTTAAAGCTGCTTCTGACTTACAGATATAGTGCAGAGAGCAGACATTTCAGCAGGACTTGCAGGACTCCAGCAGACAGTGAGGCCTACTATCATCTTCTTATGCATTCTTTAGTATTTTGACCCATTTGTACAACAACAAAAACAGAATCCTTTGCTTTGAATCAATGGGCACATTCTGCTGGTTTTCAGTTTGTGGTTTCCGTTATTAAAAAACAGAGATAGACCAAGAATGCTTGAGCTGTCCATGTTCACTCAGTATTATAAGTCATTACAGTGGTCTTTACTGACCACCTCCATAATGAGAGGAGAGAGAACGTCAGGCTGGATGTCCTGGATGTGCAGAACCTGTTTGCTGTACTCCTCGTTCATTGTTCTCATCTCAGTAAGACAGGACATCACTTTAGGGTACAGCAGGCTGGAGGCGTAGAGGAAACAAAGGAGGTTCAATCTGTGAAAGGTTCAGACTGAATGGACTGAGAGTGGCAGTTGGTATTTTACTCACTGTTTTTCTGACCCTGTTCTCTTGCAGTCAATCCAGGATTTTAGTGTCATCGCCAAGTTTTCATGAAGCACATCAATCACGCTGTGTTGCTGCACACCTGGACGGTCTGATAGATTGAATAAAAAGAAATCTCTACTAATCCAAAGCAACCCGAGAATTTCTGAAAATGCATTTTTATGTTTGGCTGGGTAGAAATGCACACTGTATTCTAGCGTTTAAATATTGACAGGGTCCATAAATAATTGATTAACAAGGGCTGGGATGAACCGATGAAGACCTGCAGCTACCTGGAGAAAACAGGGACATGGCTTGCATGAGAACATACTCTTCCTCCTGCAGGCCCAGTTTGCGCAGTGTGTGGTGAAATTTGAGCAGAGGCTCCAGCAGGAGAGGCTGAAAGCCCGCTACAAAACACAGGTGAAGAGAGGTCAATGATATGACAGAGATGGTAAAACCAGAAAAACAATAATTGTTGCAGCAGCCCTTTTATTCCACACATTCATCTTCCTTTTCAAAATATGGCGCCTACATTATCCACAATGCACCTCCACCACCGAGAGTTCAGTCTGAGATTGATTGATGTGTTATGTTAGTAGCATCTAATGTAGCCTGTAGTCCAGCAAGTTTTCTTTCTTCTTCTTTCTTTGCAAACACCCCCAGATTGGTTTTCACACTTGTAGTCTTCAGCCCCAACTAACTCTGACTCAGGCAATTTATCTGACTTTGTGCTGCCACATAAGGCTTTTGCCTTAACTTTTTTTCACATAGGCTAAGCAGCAGTACTCCCCAAGACCTGTTAACAGACTTCGATGTGTAAAAATCAGTAGCGTTCCCCTGCAGGGGTGCGGGGGGAACCCAGCAAGGCCTTTATTGTGAAATATCTTCAGGAAATGATTCATTAACACAAAACACCAAAGTGGAATCAATTTTAAGTAATCATTGTTTGAGAATAGCCTTCTGGCATTACTGTGTTATTGTATTTAGGAAAATAATTATATGGAAATGTACATCACGCTGAGTTTTCCATGGTAAGTATTAAAAAACACATGCTAAAAAGTTTAAGTGTCATCTAATGCAATGCTAGGTGCGTAGGAAGACGTGAAAGAAAAGGCAGAGGTTTTTAAAGGTGCAACATTTTGGTCTTCAACATTTCATAAAAAAACACCACCCCTTTCCTTAAAGCGGCTATAATCAATAGTTTCAACAACGGATCAAATGACTACTTGTATGTGAAATTAGTTGCTCATATTGACCTACAGAGAATTACCAGCCCCCAACTTCACTTCAGTTATGGTTCAGTTTCATGGCTCCCATCAGCAACTATTTTTAGCAAATAATCTCTCATCAACCCACTGTACACTTCCTGCTCAGCACCAAACAGCAGACAGACACAGTTAGAAACTAGCTAGTGAACAAAGCGGAGCATTTAGCAGCTAAAATGCCAGCTATTTTCCTCAGGTGTTGATGGAAACCAAAAACAGCTAAAAGGAGAGTCAATATAATAATGATAATAATAATATCTTCATTTACATAGCCCTTATCAGAAAAAAGTGCTTCACATAGAAAGCAAAGAACACAGAAAACATAACAGAAAACCTAGAATCAGATGAAATCAGGGAAGGCAGTGTGATAAAGTAAGTTTAAAAGAAGTTACTGCCAACATATCCTCAGGCAGGATGTTCCAGAGCCTCTGGAAGCTCTGTTTCCTTAGTCTTCAGCTGAGAGTCTGGAACAAGTAAAAGGCCCCTGCCAGAAGTGCGAGCAGGGTCGTACGGGGAGCTGAGCTGAGATATACTGAGAAGTCAGACGATGTAAGTAATTAAAATAACCTTAAAAGTAATTCTAAAACATACTGGAGGACAGTGTAAAGCAGCTACAAATGAAGTTTATTGAAACTCCTGGCAGTATGAATGTTTTTATTGGACTTTATTATTTGTATTACTTGATCCACAAATATGTCACTGTCCCCAAATATCTATGTTTTAATTTGTGTTGGTGAAATCATGTCAACGAGAATATTGCACAAATACAGTCAATTAACTCTGTAAACAAGTATTTTAGTTTCACATGTAGAGTAATATTAACGGATATCCCATTTATTATTATTTTTGTGGATCCATTTCTACACGTGAAACGTTTTTGCACATTTGTGGAGAAGTGGAGAATCTTTATTAAACCCAGGGGCCATGATTCAGGATTGGGTTCAACATTGTAATTTCCAGGTGGGTTTGCTAGGCAGTGCCCTAGTGTCTCCCTCTTACTGGACTGGATGAGTGAAAACATTCATCACAGGAAATTGTACTGTGATTGGTACATTGCTTGTGGAATGTGGGACTGGTAATTTTTGAACCAGGTATGGATACACCAACAGGGGATGACATCGACTAACAAAACAATATCACCACAACACTTTATAGTGATGTTTCAGAGGGTTGTTTCCGTCCCTACTAAATTCTACAAATTCTACAAATTCTAAATTCTACAGTGGATGGTGCATCTATCCACAACCTGGATGAAAAACTATTATAAATTGTAGTAATAATTTCTCCGGTTCACATGGATCTATTTTTAGGGGCATATCTGAGTGAAATTTTTGCACTTTAGAACCCCGCCTCCTGGTTGAAACCAGGCTACAGTCCTTCATCTTGTTGTCTCCTACAAATGAGAATGATGCTAGGTAGTGGTAACCCCATCAACTCTTGTGAGGGAATGTCACCGTTTTTTTGTTTTTTGTTTTCTCAGATTTTCACGGTACACATTTGACAAAATTCCATAAACGAATACAAGGGGAGTCGCAAATGTTTCTCGACCCACAAATTGAAAAGAAGCAAGCCACAAATTTGCAAAACATGTTTCACATGTACAAATTGCTCCCTATTTTGTGGATATGATTTTACACACGGTAAGGTAAAAATACACATTTGTGGATAGTGAAATATTTGTGAATCACGGTACATGTTACACGACAATTCACGTTTGTGGTTTGTCTTCCATGGGATACAAATAATGAAGTCCTAAAAAAAAAATTCAACTTTATGAGGTGATAATATGTCAATGTTGTGTTAATAGCTTGAGCACATGATCAAATTATTTAATTCAGGTTTTAATATGGTGAGTCTGTCATTTTGATACACACAAAGGTTAGTAGTTAAATTGATAATCATAAAATTTGCACAGAATGTTATGTAGTGTAAATCTGTATCCAATGCGAATTATGTGATGTGTATGTACTCGTGTACATTTTCAAACTGCACAGCGGAAACAACCAAGCCTACCCCTTTGAATATATAAAAACATGCTTTGGCTTTTGTTTGTGTAAGTAGCCTCACCTCGTACAGCATCATCTATGCAGTATGTAAAATGGCCACATTCCCAGATGCTTGTTTTTGTGTTGAACACCATGTTGAAACGGATCTGCATAACTTCAAATGTGGCTCCCTTCAACAAAGCAATTTGGTCCTCCATGGTTAGAGACCTGTCAGAGGCCGGTGTGACACGCACTTAATGGTGAATAAGTTCTTCCGAATAGACATTAGTCATAAAAAAACCCAGAGACATATTTGAATATGCATTGAGGCACACATTTACCGAAAGTCCTGAAGGTTTTTGGAGAAACTTATAATGTCCTGGATCATGTAAGTTGTGAGGTCAGTCACGTGTGGAAGAGCAGTGAAAACATTGCTTTCATCGCCCTCATGGTTCTCTAGTTTTTTAGAGGTACCACAGAGACACGAGGATGACGACGAGAAAGAGGAGAAGAGGGAGAAGGCGTACGAGGGCTTGCCTGCAGACTGGTTGTACTCACTCACAGGAAGGACGTTTCTGTCCATAGGCTAAAATAAAGAAAATGTCAGTAAGATGAGTTAAAACAATGACAATGACAACACCTAAAACATGCTTGCAGTCATTCACACACCCTAAAGCCACTGAAGCGGTAAAATGCGGAGTCAAATGTGTTGCGGTGGCCACAGAGTAGCTCCTGAATGGTCTCCTCTTGTTGGGATGAAAGCTGCATTGGAGTGTCGACCATCTTTTTCTTCTTGATTCGGATCCTCCTCTCTGATACCTGCTTCTCAGACATGACCACTACAAAGACACGCACAAAAAAAGATTGACCGCCACTCCAACAACTGAATGATGCGTTCCTCACATCACATACTTCTTATTGTCGATTTTATGTAAATATATACACTTTAAAGTCACAAATAAAGATTTGTTTTAAAATAATAAGGGATTATTTGGTGTCTCTAGATGTTACTTACTTTCTTTGCGCATGCCTATGGCTTGGCATTTACGGAAGCGGCAGGCTTGACACGACCGCCGGTTGTTTTTGGTTATACTGCATTTATTCAGGTACGGACACTGGAGCTGCGTTGTCCTCTTTATGGCACGCCTGAATTTATTAAAAATCCACCAAGTAACTGAAAAGCTTAAAAACATCAATCTGAATATAGAAATCACATGCATTAAAACCCACATTATAGTATTACTGTGTGCCATGTATGTCTGTGACACAAATGCACTGGCCAGTTAAAAATTCAAGAGACTACTGAGAATTATGGAATGAAAACATATTTACCCAAACCAGTTAATGTGAAAGTGGCTGTTTGTGGTGATAAACCAAACTGGTTTTGTATGGCTTCCTTACTTTGTGTATTGTCCACATACAGCTTTTACAATTACAACCTTTGACTGTTTTGAGCTCTGTGATCAATAAGAGTTTTTTCTTTCTTCTCCTAACTATTGTATGTGTGTCTGCTTATCTGGGTGGCAAAATGCTGCATAAATAAAGCTGTATTGAACTGGATTCAAATGAATTTGTATTTGGAGCAAGAGATGGACAAATTAAGTGTTTTGCGACACAGTATAAATTTAAATTCATGTGCTGGTTACACTTGTTTCTTTTGGTAACAGTGTTTCAGAAATGTGCTTTAACAGCGGAGAAAACTATTATATTTATTTTCAATTGTATTTACAAATTGTGAGAAGCATCTTGTCACCTCTCTTCTACATCACAGATGTTCATTTTGGTTGTTATTAATAAAGTCATAAGAAAAATTGAAGAAGGGTGAGCAACCTCACCTGAAGAAGCCCTTGCAGCCTTCGCATGTCAAGGCATTGAAGTGGTATCCCTTGGCCAGATCTCCACACACACCACAGGCTCTGGGCTGCTCATCTCCTGTCATCTTTCCTTGCTCGTTCTCATCCTCTTCAATTTGCCTTGTGAGCGCTTCTCGGATGGTCTGCACTCCAGTGGCCTTCTTACTCATTCTAATCTGAGAGATGGTTAAATGATTCGGTCAGGACTTTTATTTCAAGCGCAACATTGCTTTTTGTAAGAAGTGGCAGCATTTGATTGAAGTGAGGTTTTGTGCTTGTCTGGTCTGGTATCAGTTTTTTTTTTTGCCATGTCACAACTAATTTACAGAGGACGTATGATCTGCAATACTGTGCTGTGATGCTCTTCTCTTAAAATATAAGGATTACAAAAAATCTTGTGGCTGAATTATATACTGTATGTATTTTTTTCAAATACAGGTACCGTGAAGCATATGCATAAAGGTTCAGTGGATTCATTTAAGTCTATTAAAAGCCTTTAATTCTAACTCATTCCCTGTGGCTAAATGGTGACCCTGGGGAGCCTTTTCAAACTCCATCAAAGAGAATAAAATAACACCAAGTGCTGTGAAGTGTCCGGAAATTGCAGAGCTGCAGGACAGTGCCCTCTCACAGTCGCGAGGATAGGGAAAGTGAAGTTTCAGGCAGCTACAGCAGAGAGATCTGACACGCGCGTTGCGCAGACAGATGTCACACTGCACTAATAAAATAAATATTTGGTAAAAGATCATGATTTACTTACATATCCACAGTTGTATTTTTACTAATACCAAACAGGTGACTGAAAAAAAATAATTAATTTAAGCGTTGTGTTTTGATTTTCACGTGTGTTAATGGTCATACCGGTAGCCACGCCCCTCCCCCCCTCCCGAATTTCACCCATTCTCATCTGGTCACCCTAACACTGAAATGAGGTGTAGAAATATGACAAATGGAGTGATAGAGGTTTTGATTAATCATTTAGTATAACTAATATTTTGTCACACCTTCAAGCCAATAAAAGAAAGCTTTTATCTGAAAGACATTTATTTTCATTAATCCTCTAACTGCACGCATTAATTACCCTGAAACCACTGATTATGTGTATTTTATGTAGGCCAACTGTTTGTGTTAACCAAGTGTAATAAGCTAACCGTGCATAAGCACCACAACTAACCCATTGCTTTCACTTCCAATAGCCGTGTGACAGTGATTGGAATGTCGATTCACAAAAGTGGCTTGTAAAACCAATGTTAAGTTTTGGTCAACGCACCGCTACCGTCGTGCCTTTCAATTGGCAGGCAGCAGTAACTTTGTGACACAGGACATTGACATTTTCAATCAGTTAAAACATGTAAGACTCTTCTTTTAAGATAATCTGAAAAGACCCAGGCTATTTAACTACCTCTCATTTACCTGGTTAAAGGTCAAGTTTTAATCAAAACGGTAATCAACATCATTCAACTCACTGATTTGGGGATTCCAGATGCCCGAACAGCTGTCTGTAGTCAACACCGTTTCGCCCCTCGGCGGTTAAATCCTGTGGATTTCGGATTTACTCTACACGCAACAGGTGAGAACGAAAATCGCCCTTCCTGCTGGACGTGTTTTTTTGGCAGGATGATCCAGGCTCGTTGTTACAAGTATTTATCGCGGCAGCCCGGAAGGCGCCCGCAGCCATAGGTTTCCTACAACATTTTTGTGGTGTCCTGTAGTCATCAGTCTGTAGGCCTGTTGCTTTGTTGTTTGCAAATTCCCGGTGTACTTAAGCCGCCTTTCAGTTGTTTAGATATGGTTGCGCATTTATGCAATTACGGTACTGGTGCTGGGCATGACCGAAAATGACGTTTAAACGCCAAACACATTCCTGAAGTCCTTTAAAAAATAAATTCACCTCCACTGTAAATACACACTGTAGTAGGAATATTCGATAATGTTTTAACTATGATGAAACCGTTTACATACGAGTTTTGTGGAGAACCCCAATGGATTTATACTCAGAATGCACACAATTATAATTTAAAACGTAATAAATTATAGAAAAATCATTGTAGGGTACATGTTTTGAGAAATTTAAAAGGAAAGTCACATCCAAAGTCAACATGAATTGTAACATATAGAATTGTCCCCCCATATTTGAAACTCTCAAAATAACCTTTCCTTATGAGGTTTTCTGAAAACCAATCAAAGGCCAACTATGACCATATTACATTTGAAGCAATTTTATTGTATAACTTTGGAGAAAAGTTTTGAAGTCACTTCCAAAGTAAGCCTTTGACTCTCAAAAAAAATATGCCAGCCATATGTTTCTGCTGTCTGCCTGCTTGGTTGACTGACTGATGCAGCTCTCTTGATAAGGATGCATGCTCTGTGATCCATTTTCTAGTTAATTCAAAGTCGAGTGTCTAAATTTTGTTTCATTACAGACAGGCTGACAAGCTCTATGTAGAATGCAATCCATGAGACCTCCCGGCGAGGCATCAAAACAATGCTGTGTAAGTGATCCTGAGTCTCTGAGACCTTCTTCAACACTGCTCTTCTCACACCTGGTTCATTTTTTATTTCTATAACATAAGTAGTACCAATCAAAAGGCCATAATTAACCAATAAACCCACAATGATTATTACAAAACTTCTATTTTACTAATATGAGTCAACAACAAGTTTAGACATCAGTCTGCATCTCAGCATACTTTCTATATTTTTAGTCCTCTACTCGGTTTGAGTGTGGTACTGCTCTGCTTCCTTCCCTTGCTTCTGCTCCACTTGGCTGATCATCTCCTTGAGGACTCGGTTGGAAGCTCTTTCAGAGGGAAAGATTGACCGAGAGGCCCCCAGAGTACTAGGAAGGATCCCAGAATGCTCTGCAGTCCCCTGAATAATACTCCGAGCTGCCTGCAAGTGTCTATGCTGCCTCTGGTGCACTGTGAGAGAAAAAACACATTCATTATTCAATTGTCATTTTTTATTTGTTTTTATTTAGGCGCATTTATCTCTTTATTAATCTTTATTTATCTCTAAGACATGTGATGTGTGGTGCATAACTTTTAATCATTTTGATATTGTATTCTATGATAATAATGTGTCAGTCCAGTTGAAACAGAAAAATCTGCCAAACCTCTTTGTCTGACGCTCAACTTCTCCACCTCTGGGATAAGGAAACTGTACACCAACTCTGACACAATCTCCTCCGACTGAAGATCATTTCGGCTACTCAAACAAACATACCAATGATATGTTTACTATAATTGGGTCTGAATTTCCAGATACAAAGCATTAGCAGACATGAGCTAGCCATTACCTTTCCTCCATGGCATAAGCAATGTCATTGACCTCCTTTGCCCTCCTGTGAATCTCTTCTCTGGCCTGCTGGTCAGCTGTCTGCTCCAAGGTCCCTAAGATGATGTCCTCCAAATACAAATCCACAGTTTCCTGGTGTACCTGCACCACCTGCAACAACGCCACATTACAACATGTTCACCACACACAAACACATACCTCTTTTTCACACTCGTAGCTAAAAATCTACACATGTACGCACTTGTCTAAAGATCTCATCTTCTTCTCTGCGTCTGCACTCCTCCACCTGCCTCCGCCCACTCTCCTCAGCCTCTCGTAGGCGACGGTCTCTCTCAGCCAGCAGGGTAAATGCATGGATCCTTCGCTCTTCCTGGAGATGAATCAGCTGCTTGGACAAGGTGTCGAACAGGTGTTCAAGCTCTGCACCAACCACTCTAGCCTGAGATGCCTCCTCTTGAGAGGTCTGGGCAGGGGGAGAGAAGGTGTAATGAGACTGTTTGGAGTTTGTCAAATTTTGCATGTGAATTTGTCTGTGTGTTTCACCTTGTGTCTATGTTTGTCTCTCTGTATTTTTAAGGTCATGACGAGCTCTTTGTCAGCTTTCTGTAGCTCCTGCTCTTCTCTCTGAAGGGCATTTACAGTCCTTAGTTCCTGGATGAGTGCCAGATGGTTTTCCTTGCCCATAAACATCTGCACAACGACACAGACAGAAACTAACAAAGATGTATTTACAACTTGCAAGCAAACATTTCTGTGGGCCCTTCAGGCATAAAAGAAGTCACAGACACGCAGGTAAACACACATGTGCATGCAGACATGTTCAGACCTCGTATTGGATGCTTCTTCCTCTCAGTAGCTTCTGCAATTGGATGATTGCGTGGTCTATCTCCTCATCCCCCTAATGAGGAATATATAAGGTAATTAACAAATAGAATCTCAAATACATGTAAGATGAACAAGGTCAGTGTCAATGAGAGGCATTAGCTGACCTCTGGTGGCTCCTCCAATCTGGGAGTGACAGGACGAGGAACGGGCTTCTCCTTCTTGACAAGAAAACGCAAGGACTTCCTTGTCAATTGCTTGTTCTTCTCCTCTCTCAGGGCCTGTGGGGCAAGAGTTGGTAATCACTGTCTATCTAGAACTTAAGTGATATACTTAATAGGGCTGACCCCAAATAGTAAGATTCAATGCAATTCAATGCTTCGATGGGCGGAGCCTGATTCAACGGTCAATCTCATAGTCGAAGCTTCGCAGCGAAACAAGGATCATGCCATTTCGGCGATATGGGGCTGCTCAACATCTGATTTTACATAGAACTACCAGTTTTCTCCCACTAACTTAATATACAGCCTATTAACAATATACATTTCAACATTTAATGCTGTAAATAAACATGTAAAAAGAAAAAAACTTTCAGTAAAGGTTTTTGCAGTGCATGCAGTTGTCGCCAGCACGGCATGCACGCAAAACTCTGCAAAAGACCGGTGAATGGCAGGCGAGAGAGAGAGAGACAGAAAATGGTCAACAATAAGCCTCAGTTTAGAAAAGCCGAGCCTTAGTTGGGGGCAGCCCAAATACTTAATGAACATATATTTTTCTCCTTTACCTTGTATTTCTTCATCAGTTCTACTGCTCTGCTCACAGGGGGCTTGATCACATCCTTGCTGATGTTGACTTTGGGTTTGGGTCTTTTCACCTGTGGCTTGAGGACGGAGGCAGATAGTCCTGCCTCTAATTCTAGCAAGCCTATGATTGACAGAAATTTAAACATTACGTCAACAATAATGGGATACTGTTTTCTCTAAAATGCTATTATGGAAATTAACTGCTAAATTCTATATGTCCAAAAGCATTTAGATTCAGACCTTCATATGTGTCTAAGTAGTAGCTTTTTAACTCATTGTTGCGAGTGTTCCTGTTGGTGAATGTGTCCCTGCGGATCTGAAGGGTATGTGTCTGAGAATCTGTGTAGTCTCTGACAATGCCACATTGCTCAAGCTTCCCCTCCACGTTTCTCCTCTTGGCTTCCAGTTTCCTCAGTGCTACAGAAAAAACAACAATGAAAAATAAGAGATAGATGAGAAGGAGTGAAACCAAGCCTTGAAATATATATTTATGAACCAAATGTTATGTTACAGCAGAGGCAGCAGTTGTCTTACACCTAATGTAGTCATTGTGAATCTTGTGTAGTTTGGTCTCCTTGTCTTTTTGGTGCTTAGAATATATCTGGTTCAGTCTCTCACTTGTAACATCTTTCTGGGCCTTATCTCTCTGCTCCAAGAGGTCCTTCAGCACAGCGAGACGAGCCTCTTGCAACCTGCAACCACCCACAGAAACAGAGAGCATTGCAAAAGGACTGTTTTTTGCAGAGCAAATACAGCGGGAACATCAAGTTTGCTTAAAACGCAATATATATATAGCAAGAAGTAGTAAATGGTTGTGGCACTTTGATGAGAGAAACTGCCTTTACAATGGAAGAACTTTTAGCAGACCCATGTGCCAGCATGGAGTAACCTCCAACAGCTACTTTTTTCTCAACTTGGGGACAAAACATTAACGTTGACTGCAGCTGAAAAACCAAAACAGTAAACTGAAACATGCTAAAAAGCTTTGCAGAGATGAGGGGAGCCACAGTGTCAGGTGATAATTCTCTGTGGGTTCATAACATGGTAGATTATTTTTTATTTGTCATTTTACAACACAGGGTTGTATAATGAGCTGAAGATTTTAGTTCCCTAAATGCTACTCACAAAGACCAAACATTATACACAAATTATATAGAGAAATTAAACTATTTTACATGGTGCAATGCTGAGGATTAATTAATCTCACAGCCTGGGGGAAGAAGCTGGTCAGACCTCTGGTGGTACGACAGCAAATACTTCTGCATCTCCACTTGCCAGATGGCAGCAGGGTGCAAAGGGTGTGGCAGCCTGTGTGTGACAGTAAAATAGCAATACATGGCACTACGCAAGTTCTGGGCCTTTATGGTTTGCTGTGGGGCACTTGTGATGGCAGATGGCTTAAGATATAATGCTATTTGGTCAAGAGGTACATGCTAACAGGTGGCTTAAATCTTTGCCAAACACTGCACCAACTACATTTTAGGTAAGTGGTGTTTTTCTGTGTTTCCAGTTAGACATAAAAAAGTTAAATAATAGCAGATGAGGTACAGCACCACTTACTTCTGGATTTCTCCTTCTCTGAAAGCCCACTCTTTGGCCTCCATCTCCTCCATCATACGTCTCCTCTTGTCAAGCTGACTAAGGTCATCCAATGGAGGAAGGGTGGCCTCCCAAGCTTGTTTGGCACGTGCCCGCTCAATCATTTCCACTTCTGCCAGGCCTGCCGGCAGACCACGACCTGAGAGGAAGTGTCATCAGGGAGGGTTTAAATGAAATTTGCAGAGGTGAGGAGAGGCATTGGAAGACAATTATGATACAGTAAAGATACATGTAGACTACTTAGTGGGAAGGTTGGAGATGTTTTAACAAGGGAAATAATAATAGTCTATAACTGGTTAATATCTGAACAGTTCATCATGTACCCCAAGTCAAAGCTGCCAGTTGCAGGAGCTCTGAGGGAGTTGTACCAGGTTGTACCACATACTCAGGGCTGTATGGGTCTGTCTGTGCTTCACTTTCCCTGTAGTCTGTCTGGACCCCCACAGTAAAGTGGGTGGGCTGGTGCTCAGTATTGTTTCCACCAGCGGATAAAAAGTCTTCCCTGAGGAGACAAAAAAAGAGCACGTACTGTCTA